AAATATTTTTATAAATTATTAAAAAAAGGTGTTAATAATTATGAATATAATTATATTAAAATGAAAAATTAATTTAAAGAGGAAATGAAAATTTAAATAAATTCGCATTTAAATTACTTTTATTTATTACTTGATTTAAAAAAGCATTGAATATTCTAATGATTTCTTGAGAGTACGTCATTTAAAATAACCAAAGAAAGACTCTAATGTGCATCCCTAATGATGTCTTACAATTAAGTCGTTGGTTTGAGAAGTGAATCTGCGAGTGAAACAATCGTGGAAACTAATTGGCCCACATAAATTATAATATGATGCGAATGGATTAATTCATTAGACGCGTGAGAGAGGTGAGGAGGGGTACCTGTTCGGCGACTGCTCCTTGGCGGCGTGCATTGGATTCGTGAGGGGCCGCGAGCGAGTTGCGCGTCCAGTGAGTGACTGGCAGCCCCGCGAGCCGCATCCGTCTGCCATGCCCCGTCTTCCCTGATTTGCAAAAAATCGTTTTGCGGAAAAGCTGGTTTCGCGAATGGAGTCGTGTTTTCCGCCGCTGGCGGGCCTCAGCCTAAAGGAGCAGGCGCGGGCCAAGCCGCCCAAGCCCTCCGACCTTTCCGCGCCCGACCTCAACGAGCTGCACAAATTCGCCAAAATCGAGATTCTGCAGGACCTGGACCTCTACTACATCCGCCAGATCGCACACAAACTCAAGGTACTTTACACTCGACCAGGGAAAGTGGTGATTTTAACTGGCGAGGAAGCCCGACCTGAGCCCCAAGCTTGCATCATTGGAATATCACAGCCTCCTTCTGAACAGTGTGATTTTCAGATGTATACATTTCTAGAAATGCTATAAAAATGCATTTTTTTTCGGTACTTGCAGTTTAATTCAATATTTCAGTTGTTTAATTTTAAATTCTGCAGTTGAATAAGTCAATTTTTAAATTACTTATTGCAAAAATAAGTTCTAATAAATGTTTAGGGAATTTTAAAATTTGTAATTTCAACAGAAAGAGGGCATTTTTTTTTTTTTTTACTTGAATTGTGGAAATTAAATGAAAATTTTTAGCTCGATCTGATTCAATTGCATTTCCGCCAGATATTATTTTTTGTTTGACCAAGAAACATGATAAAACCTAAAAACTTCGAAATAACAAAATAACAAAAATTTAAAAAAAAAATACTTGCCAGAAATATCCTGGTATTGCCTTAATTTTATTTAATATAAAAAAAAAATGAGATAAAGACCAACTAAAATAATTTTAAAGGCTCAAATGAACCTAAATATAATTTAAACCAACCTTCAATTGGTACTGATTGATTTTGAATCGAGTTCAGTGCCACACGAATGATTTGAGCAGGTGGATTTTTTGTCGGTTTTGTTGCGTGCCATTGTTGTGACAATTAATCTCTTATTTGGCAAGCTTACGTCAGATGAACCGTGCCTATAATTTTATTAGCCTGGGGGCATGCACGTGACTCACCGCAATGCAAAGCATTCAGCAGGTGATGTGTCTCTCTCAGAAATGTATTATTTTTTGCGCTGCTGACCGAAAATCGAGTGCCGTCCTTGCCACCATTGCCATTTGATTGCGGGCAGCGCCAAGGAAATCGCGAATATAGTTGACGCGTTAATAAAATACATAAACGTGATGTCATCACACATATTATACTTGAGATAAATTGCGTATTTGCCAAGAACTTGAATGAAACTTTCTAGAAAAGCATTTGATAGTTAATTTAAATTATGAATTATATTATGGCGAAAAAGTTGGATTTCCTTTTGAATTTGCCCGTAAGTAAATTCTTGCAATGGATGTTTACAAATCATGGCACGTATATTACTAAAAACCACTAAAAATAAATTAATTTTGCTCTTAAATTTTTTTAGCATTAATTTATTGCATGTTGAGAATATTCAACAATACATATTTTATTTAAGATTTCTTTGGAAATTTTCAAAGTTTGATTTAAAAAAAACCTACTGAGGAGTAAAAATGAAGAATTTTTTAGAAAGGTAGGAAGTTGCTTTCGAAATTATCAAATTTCATTGTAGAAAGAAAGAAGTATTATAATTTGAAACATTATACGTAGCTGAGACATCAATAAGGAAAAAATATTATCAGTTATTATCCTAACGATTGATTCTTTTAGACAAAACTAATCTCTGATGTTAGAGATAATGATTGAGCTTTTTGACATTTCATTTCTTTTGTCGCCCGTTTTTCATTTTGCGTCCATGAAATTTGCCAAATATATCAATAAAAATTTCAAGAATATTTTTAAATTTATTTACTGAAGATATTTTCAAACTAAAAATTCCGTCTTTTTTGAATACCGCAATTTCTAGTTGTTTTTAATTTTCGAGATATTTCTTTAAACCAATGTCAGTTAAAGAATTATAAATCCTTTATTTCATTCTGGATTAGCCATGAATTAATTCCATTAGACTTACTTAATAGGATTAAATGTTTTTAGGCAGGGAGTGCGAAACCCATGAACTGTGGCGGAAGTCCATGTGCCGAGCACTAAATTTGATATATGCCGGTGGCAAAGAGATTTTGCCACAGGTGGTTGCTCGGCTTGCATGTCTCTGCGGCTTGACACTACTTTTTGAAAAGTTAACCGCACATACTTGTGTCAATTTGAATTTAATTAAATTCCAAGGGTGGTGCAGAATTCCGCTTTGTTTGGTCTGCAGAACAATGTTATCTTGTACACAAAAGTCTCTCCTGCACCTGCGGCGATTTTATTTGCATAAAGGGAGAACAATGAAAGAAGAAAAGCAGCCGCGTAAGCCGCAATTAGGTGCGATATACTTTGTCATCTTTATTTTTATCTCCTTATTCAACTGCCGGCTACTTTTCAAGTTCAGAATGTGCTGAAACGTTGACGCATTTATTTATCTAAACAAGAGAAGCATAAAAAGTATTATTCTAATAAAAAAAAAGCTTAAAAGTATTATTGGTTAAAAATAGAATTTGATTTTTTTTTCATGTTAAAAAATTATATTATATATTATCTCCTCTTTTTATTAATGAATTTAAACTTGCTTGTTTCCAAAAGATAAATTTGAATAGTTTTCTGCATATTTAATTTAAAAGTAAACAAAATAACATAAAAAATTGTGTGATAAAATAGTTTTAAATTAATTATCTGAAAATTTTGTTGGTTGCTATTTTAAAAATTTAAAAATATAATAAAAATACATTTGGGAATTATTATTATCTGCATCTAGAAAATTCAATAGTATATAAAGATTCTTTTAAGATGTCAATTCAAAAAATCCGTTATAATACAAATTAAGAATATTTTTGGTGCCAAGATTGGAAAAAAGCGCTGTTCTTTGCGGTTTTGGTACCGCAATAATAAAATCCGAATGGTCATCACAGACTCGATTATTGTCTGCGGTCACGGCGATTTTCGTTGTTGGTCAGCACCTCTGGCCAAATGAGTCACCGGCCGAGGTGGCCGGAATGCAAATGGTCCGCAAAATTCCTGCAAACTCTTCGAATTGGTTGCCGACCACCCACTCGGCCTTTTCTCGGTCGACTTTCGCGTCAGGCCACTCCCTGGTTCTGCACCAGTCACGGCCGTCATTGTTTGCCAACAAGCAAGAAGTGTGAGAGCGGCTCCGATTCGCGTTTTGACTTGACGCACGTCTCCTTTGCTTGCCCTGTTCATTGATTCCGACCGACCTCAAACGTAAAAGGCTCCATTATTCAATTTATTAATTGCAGTAATAATTTAATTGAAAAAGATTAACCTCTCAAATGGATTTTTTCATCATATTTTAATAAAAAATTTACCTCCTGCAAGGTCTGTAGAAATCAAATTACCAGATATTGCGTTTGTGAAAGGTGAGATTAGAAAAACAAACAAACAACAAAATCAATTGCAGAAACTAATAAATCAGAAAAGTTTAAGTTTTTCAGTGGAAATATCTAATAAATAATAGTAAAATGAAATGTTTCCTCTATCTCTAAGGACAAGTGTTTTGCATAATATATTTTGTGGCGTAACAATTAGTCCTAAATTAACATTGTTTTGTTAAGGTTATTTAGCGTATTGTGCAAAAAAAAAAAAACACTTTAGACAAGCTCGGCGGGGGTGCTCTTTCATGAATTGTCTCACAACCTTGGCAACCTTATTTAAACGACTTTTTTGTCGCAAAGAAAAAATCGGAAAACATCACGTGATGGGGGCAATAAATTTCGAGTGGCCATTATCAACTGCAGCTTGTATTTTCACTGCTGCGAGTGTTTGCTTATTTTTTATGGCTCTTCTTCTTCTCCGCGGTCCGATCGTGACGTCACTTTTGTTTTTCGCCTTCTTCTCCGCTTGTTTGAGATGCAAACACCACTTGTAAATTGAAGCTGTGCAAAAAGATTTGGCGCGTCCCACATATTAATTCTCCAACATTGACCCGCACACACATGGGAAAAGAGCAGAAGAGCACGTGGGAGCCGATTCATAATTAAACTTTTAACTAATGGAATAATTAGTGAGTGGCGAGAGAACGAGAGAAACTTCAAAGCGAAGCGGAGAAATTTAGAAAATTTAATTCAATTGAAAATGTTTGGAGATTTGAATTGGAGTTCGTGTCAGGGTCATATACAATTGTTGACCTCTCTGACCTTTTCATTCAATTGAAAAAAAACATCATAGTTCTGCTTCTGCGTTTAACTATTTTTGATTTTTAATAAAATTCAAGTGCTCAATTTAAAATAACAGAAAAATAAATGTACCACTATAGCTTTTTCCTATAATTTAATGTTAAAATTTATTTCCTGTTATATATTTTTGTGGTTCAGAAGAAGTTTCTTTTCCTCTTCAAGTGGCAGAGAAAATTTTCCGTGTCGCTTTAAAATTATTACCCAGAGAAAAATATTTAGAAAATATATAAATTACCATAAAATTGTAAAAATATAGAAAAATCTTATTGTTTTTGTCTGGTACTTTAAAATTTATTTCTGTTGCTGATTTGGTGAATTGGTTTGTTGCAGGAATTGGACCTTGAGCAGAAAATCGAGTTGGAAATCAAGATGCGCGAGGGGTCGGCCAAACTGCTGGCGGCCAGCAAGCAGCAGGCGCAGAGTTTGGAGGCGGCCAGGTCGCTGCTCACCAGCAACGAACGCATGAGCGCCTACATGGCCGAACTGCAGCGCAGAAAGAGGGACCCCCAGCTCAGGTACTTCATTACATTCCTTATTTTTAAAAACCATATTTAATTTGAAAGACGATTCATTTAAATATCTTAAATAAGGAAAATTCAATAATAAAATTAAATCTTATAAATTTAATATACTTTTCATTTTATCACAAATTTATTTTAAATAACCGAAAATTCATTTTTTAAGCCGTTTCTTTGCACAATATATTGATAAAAAAATTAATAAAACCAACCTTTTTAGTATTTTTGGGTCTCTCAGTTTTGCAAATAGAAGTAACTCTAGGAAAATTAAACATGTTTTCCCTTTATTTCGTTTTAAACTTATGAAGAAATTTCATTGATGAAGGGATGAAAAGAATTGTTTCATCGTTAGAAAATGATACCTAAATAAATTAGCGCTGACAAACGTAGTAAATTTAAATGCAATATATTAATTAATAAATTAACCAATTTGTCCGATTTTTGCAGAAATTTGCAGAGCCGGGCGCGCGTGTCCCTGTCGGAGCTGCGGATGCCGCTGATGTGGCGCGGCGTGGACCACTTCAAGAACAAGGGCGACTACCGCCGCTTTGCAGTCTTCTGCCTTGCCAGGGTGGGCACCGAGATCTTTGACACGGCCCTCGTCAGCCCTGTCGACAGGTCAATGACCGACATCACCTTCTCCGACTCACTTGTCTTGTAATTTTTTGAAATTATTTTTTAATTGTTCACTGACTTTGTTCATTTGCAGCAACAACGTTCCGGCCGACTTCACTTTTCGGCTCGAGGTTTACAGCCACCTGCTGGCTGAGGACCTGAGCATGGCGTCGACGCCCCGCAAACTGCAGCGCACCCTCCACTCGTCCATCAGCAGGACAGTGGGCAAGAAACTCGCAGCCTCACTCAAGGATGAGCTACATGGAAAATTGTAAGAAAATATACTTTTTTTTTTAATTAATTTAAATAGTTATATTTTGAATTAACTCGGCGATTTTATTTTTGTTATTAAATTAAAATTTAAGTAAAACAATCATTTTTTTGTAAATTAATAAATTTACATGTTATATTTGAGTTTATTGAAACTTCCAATTTGAATATGCATAATAATTATATAAGGAGATAATCAACATGAATGTTTTCTTCTAGGGGTCCCCAATTTCACCTTGTTGCTTCAGCCAAGCTGAATCTTGCTGACATAGATGACGGTGTTAGGACACATGACCTTGAGATTGAAACGCTAGGTAAGAAACCAGTTTATCAGAAATCAATACTTATGCAGAAGCTTTCTTCTAAAAATATTTGTTGAGTTGAAAGGCTTATCAACTTTTACATAATTATAACTTTGAAAATGTCACTATTTATATCCAAAAATTGGGTTCTTTAATTCCTAAAATTACCTTTCTTATGAAAATTAATCTGTTTTTAAATATTTTGTTGACAAGTTTAGATTTTTACATGTAAAACATAACTTCTTATTACAATTGTCCTATTTTGAAAAACTTTTTGAAAAAAGCAGCTGTAATCTCTTGTCACCTAAATCACATATTTTTCTGATATTTTTTAGAATAATTTTTTTTTTTCACTTTCAATCAAAATTTCTTTTTAAAGTTAAATGCTGTTGCAAGTTTTTCTTCCAAATAAATTATTTCTCTCAACATTATACTAATTTTTTTCTTCCAATTTGCAGACAATAGGATGCAAGAGTTGCCTCTATTTGGGCACTTTTGCTGCCGCCTGGCCGCTCAACCTGACTGCATGACCAAAGAGCTGATCTGCGGAGAGGCCACTCTCAGACAGGGCAGCAAGGCCGCCTTCTGCCCGGTCTTCCTCTCCCTCAAGGCCTTTCGACTCTCTGTCTGGCCCTCGAGAGAGCTGAGGACAGAAAACGAGCCTACAGCTTCCCTCTGTGTTGACAAGGTTAGTTTATTTTAATTTATTTAATTAGCAAATGATGAATACAATTTGAAATTCAGGAGGCAAGCATACAGGTGGGAGACAACAGGCAGGTGCACATAGTGAGATTAGAAGAGGGCAGGGAGGTCACGTGGACCATCCAGGCCAAGACGGCTGAAGAGCAGCAGCAGTGGCTCGGACACCTCATGAGAAGTGCTCAAGACCATGCCAGGTACTTTTTAACTCAAAATTCACTATAAATAGTAAAAATCCATTACAAAAGATTGAATGAATCAGTTTGTACAATTATTTTTACCTTTTATGTTAATTAAATCCGGACGTTTAATTCAAATTTGGTTATTATTAATTTAACTGATTTTTAGGTTTTACAATACTAGTTAAATTTTTTTAAATAGCAAGAAATATTCTTTTGAATTTTTATTTCTATATTAACATTAATATGGAATGCTAAATTTTTTGCATTCGTCAACTTCAATTAAATGGAAATGGTAATTTAAAAATAAATTGATTTCAAATAACAAATAATTTTGCTTCAAAGGTTACTTTTAATCCCTAGTGACATTTTAAAGTTTAAAAAAGCTACATTTTATGATAATATTTAACTACAAAACTATTTACCACTATTTTACTATAATTCAAAAATTGTCTTTATTTAATGAAACTAATTTTGCTACCATACATTTTGCAGATGGAGAAAAGCATCAGAAAGACTGATGGACATTCCAAGTCCAGGTTCGTCCCGCCAGTCCTTCATGTCCACCTGCAGCCGCCAGGGCTCTCTTTATGACCAAACTCCCCTCATTGGTAACCCACCTGTCCATCTTTTGAATAAAAAATTCCTAACTGATTGGTTGCATTTGCAGAAAACGTGTGCTCCGAGTCTCAGCAGGGTGTGCAGAACGGCAGCAACCGACGGACAGTGCAAGAGATCTTCGGCCTCACCCCCGCCACCAGTCTGAGTTCGTGCGCCTCCTCGAGCGCCTCCTCCTCCCCTCCCACCTCCTTCAGGGACCGCACCTCCAGCGGCTCCGGCTCTGGCTTCCGAGCCACCCTCAGAGGTCACTGGCCCTTCAAGAGCAGCAACTGACACAGCTCAACTATCATTGTCTCAAATTCCAGCAAGATATTTTTTACAGTCCAAAGAGTGAATGTGTTTATTTTTCTCTCTCGAGAGTGATTTTCATTTTTCGAAGTCAAACCACGAGACAATAAATTATTTTCTCAAACCATTCCATTCAGAGGTGAATAAAACAGATAAATGCTAATTATGTAAAAATGTATATTGTTTTGAATGAAATAAAAGTGTAAGAAAAAACAGAATGACAATTCAAAATCAAGAATTTCATTAAAATGCCCTTAAATATTATCCAATTTTGACTATAAATGTAAAATTTCTATCTTTTCACTAGAAAAATTATTACAAGATTTAATTTATTTAAAGTTCCATAAAATTTCTTTTTCAATTCAGGTTGCCTTAATTGAGAATTTATCTATTTTTTATGTTCTTTATAAATTAAGTAAATTTTTATCAGTTTCTTTGTGAATTTTTGAAAAATACTGTTGCCTGGTAACCAACCAAACAAACAATCCACCAGCTGCTGCGCCAGTTTCTAAACAATTCCACACCATGGCAGACAAAAAGGTACTTGATTTTTTCCTCGTGTAGTAAATTAAAATTGTAAACATTTTCAGACCAAAAGTAGTTTTTATGCAACATTCGAGGCGTAAATGTCATGCGGGTTGCATACGCTCGTTTCTGCAGGAGCTAAAACTTTGCTCTTTTTTGTTTGAATGATTTTCGCAGCTTGCACGCGTGTCCCGGGCGACGAAAAGCAGAGAGCCGTCGCAATCGAAACGTGACCCCAGCAAAGAGGTCACCGCCGAGGCGCCGAAAACAAAAAGCAGGAAACCGGAGCCGAGAAAGGAGCCCGTCATCGTTTCATCTCAGCAGGCCAAAGGCAAAGTGGCCAGCAGGAGTCTGAGCAGGAAAGTGAGCGTCACCGAAATCGCCTCGCCCAAAAACAGCTTGGCCGTCGGCAGAGGGACGGACAGGGGCCGTGCAGGGACGGACAGGGCCAAAGGGGCCACCTCCAACAAACAGATTCCGGTCAGGACTGTGACCAAAAGGGAGGCCGATTTGGACGATAAGAGGGCTTCACATGAGGTAAAGCTTTCAATTTCTAGCCCTGTTTTTTTGACCGAATAAATACAAACTTTTCATTTTTCCTTCGACTCTCTAGAGTATGGAGTATGTCAGCCATTTATTTTGTTATCCATAAAGTTCAAAAACAATTATTAATAGAAATCAAACGCTAAGTTCTAATAAGATCTGAAGTGTGTTATTTTAATTCTCTTAAGTTAAGCAATCTACCCTTCCAGCATTGATATTTTTTTTATGAAAAATGAGAAGTTATGTCCACATTTTAAACAATTATTTTTTATCAAATTTTGTTGTAATTTTTGTTGTTTCTCACAAATTTAAATTAACCTTTTTGGTATTAGTGTAAAGCTTGTCATCATTTCTCCATTTGTTGAAGGAAAAAGGGGAAGGTAATTTTGCAACAACTAGTATAAGTTGTGTTTCGATCTGCTCGAACTGATGGAAAATTGTAAAAGACGTCATCAAAACGTCTTACGTTTAATTTCACTTTGAAACAACTTTGCTGCTTGAAATGGAAATTGCGTTGACTCGTCGCTTCTATCAGTTCTAGGTCGGAGAAGAAAAGTAAAATCAACATTTGAATTTCGAAACTACTGCTCTAGGGAAAGTTTGTTGCTGCTCTTTCTCATTTTTAATTAATCCTTGAGAGCGAGAGCAAAAATTTCCACACCTAACATACTTCTTTTCCGAGAGCAAACTCCAGCGCCAGTTGGGAAGCAACTTTTTCAATATAACCCATGACAATTAATAAAGTCGCCTTTTTACTTGGCGAGAGACAAACTTTTATAGTTGAGCAAAAAACTTCTTGGTTTTTACTCACAGAGCCGAAGTTTGGCGCGAGGCGCAAAGGTGGTGCGTGAAAGGATGCGGACAAGGACTATCAGTCCGAGGGACGACGCCCCTGCACCACCTGTCAAAGAGCCCAAAGTGACTAGGCAAGAGTCGGAAAACGACGATTACGAGGACGAAACTTTTGAGGTATTTACTCTTTTTTTTATTTAATTGAATTGGGAGCGCAAAAATTATCATCACAGGATTACGAGTCGGACTTTGAGGAATCGCCGGCAACGAGTGAGGAGGAAGAGGAAGAGTTGAGAAAACCGGAAGCGGAGATTGACAAAGAGGAGCCGCGGGAAATGGTCAGTTTGCCGGCGGCTGCGGCCAAACCCATCTCAGCCCTGGCCAGGACGCAAAACAATCAAGTTACGAGAAAACAGCCTGCAATTACCAGGTCATAAAACTTATAAATTATTTTCAAATTTTTATAAGAAATTGGAAACGAAAAATTAATTAATTTAAAACATTCAAAGTGCAAAAAATTGCCAGCAAAATATTGGAGCAAAATTCAAATGGAAATCTCTATGGGCCAATAAATATGTTTAAATTCTTCTGCTCAATTTTATAGAAAAATAATTTGATTGAGAGAGATTAAAATAAAAATCAATGCTGGTCAAAAAAGAAAATGGAACAAAGCTACTTTAACACAAATTACTAAAACACCTTCAAAGCGGTTTTTCTCAAACTTTTTCCACACAATCTGGTTGCTTTTGTTTTAATTTTGAAAGTTAATCTAACTGGACGCGTCTTTAGACGTTTTATTGTGATTTCCACATTATTTAGATTATTTAGATATTTTAAAATATTCAAAATATAAAATACTTTGCCTAGCTTCGACTGAGGGGGATCTCTATCTTAATCCCAAGAGAACTAAATCCATTTCCTCGTCTTCCGTCTGCTTGTCTAGGCTCTCTTCTCATTTGCACAAAACGTTAAGGCAAAAGTAATTTGCAGGCGCGAGAGTCGCAGCGATTTGTCGGTGGCGCCTTCGAGCGAGCAAGATTCTTGGGAAATAAAAGCGATCGCGCCCGTCGTCGGCGAGCAGGCGACGGTCAAAAGGACGACGACGGTGGTGGTGCCGCAGCCGCCGCCCCAAAAGCGGCAAAAGGAAGCGGAGCAAAGTGCTGAAGCTGCGAGCGGCTACGAAGCAGTCGAGGATCGGCCGCATTTTGAGCAGGCGAGCTTTATTTCCACATTTCGTATTCAGCGAACAATGGCACGCAGAACCAGAAACTTTTAAAGGCCTCTGAACGTTTCCATTTCGCTGGAGGCCTGCAAAAGTTCTCATTCTCAGACAGAACAAAAACTGACCTTTTACTTTTTTTATGTTATGAAAAAGTATGAGATGTGTGCTGAATGCTTACAATTTTAAAGGGAATGAAATGAGGCTTTGAAATGTTTCATTTTTATTAATTTCAAATAAAATTAAAATCGAGTAACTTCCGGTAAAAAATATGCACAGAAAACGTTTTATAATAAATTTCAAATTTTAAATGTTACAAGTGACTAAGTGAGATAAATGCCATTTTTTTTAAATAAATAATTTATTTTTTGGTAGGTGTCCACAACAGGTAGTCAAATAAAAATGCTCAAGTTGCTGCGACTGGACGTGGTGAATTGCGAAGCTCTGGATATTCCACCAAATCCGGTGGTGGCGAAACATTATTCAAATTCAACAGAGGTGATTTTTTTGTAAAATTTTTGTGACATTTTTATTTGAACTGATTCTTGGCAGACCAATGAGGATGGGAGGAAAAGTTCATCGACGGAAAAGTGGACGCAACACCCGCCGACACAGGTTTGCCTAAATATAATACACCGTTGGCCTTTAACCCTAACTAAGTGACGTTGAGCAGGAAGCGATTGGCGGCGGAAGTTCACCGTCGCCGGAAGAGATCGTGTCGGAAAAACTCGCTCAAACGCTGCAAAACGCTTCCGAAAAGGTTGGCACGAATAACAAGATATTTTTGTTTGACATTTTTGAAACATAAGCTCACAATTTTTTGAGCAACAGCTTTTGAAGGCTTTTTTTAGAGATACACTTCCCTTGGTGATTTATAACTTTTAGATTATTGTTTTCTTTTTGAATAGATATGTCTGCATAAATTTATCTTGAATAGAATAAAAAGATGAAAAAAAAATGGAAGAATAATTTAAAAGATGTTAAAAACAAACTGAAAAAACAGGAATATAAAAGCAAACCCAAGATTTTAAGCGTCTTTTAAACTATTATTTTGCAGATTGCATTTTCGGAGCTGCTGAAGGAGCACGTTGAGTTGGAGAACGCAGTGGAAAGTGTGGGTCTAGGTGCTGAAATCCGCAACGTTGCCAGCCAGGGCTTCAAATTTGCGGGCAAGAGCGACGTTCTGAAGCAGCGGCCGCCGAAAATACTGTACTTTGCAGAGCCGTCGCGACTCGTCTCGGTGCACGAATGGCAGGTTTGTCTGAATATTTAAAGCGTGTAAATGATGGATGAGTGAAGAGGGACTTTTTGTTTCGTTCGGCAGGATAATGGCGACGTTTTGTTCGTGTGGACCGCCCTAATGGACACGGAGACCCCCAGCTACGTGCTCGGCTCGCGCGGCGCCGTCACCTGTGTGTGCGCGGCGCCCTCCGCCCCCTCCCTTGTTTTCGCAGGCACCAACGACGGGTAAGCATAACTTTTTTTCACAAGATTTTATTTTTAAATTCTAGAAAAAAATTGAGTCTAATTATATTTTCCCCTTTCTCACAAATAAGTTTTAAATCGTCCCTTAATTCCCTCCCCTTCAACCATAATTCATAACTCTTGCAACTATTTATTTGTCGCCCTTTGCAAGAAAATAATATATTTTCATTAAATAAAGTAAATCTCTATTCAGTTGAGAGATCCATTATTATCATTTTTTTCATATCCTCAGGAGTAGATAAATGAAATAACTCTCAATTAATTTCCAGGACAGTTTGTTTGTGGGATTTGCAAGAGCCCTCTTCAAATCACTCAACGATGACGTTCGGTTCACAGCCACTTGTTGTTCGCTCGCCCACTTTTACCACAGGTGAGCTCTTTTTTTGTGTTTGCTAAAGAAGCTTATTTTTTGGGGAGAGTCGGCCAGGAATTACGCAAATGAATGACGTTGATAAATAAAAGAGCGCAAACATTTTTACTTATCAAATAAAACGGAAAGGTTGATTTTAGTTTTATTTTTTCTTTGATTTAAAAATTAAATAAACATTTTGAAAATTTTCTGATAATTTCAGAAACGAGTTATTTTGTTTTCTATACAATTAACATAAATTTCAAGAAACTTATGAGACAGATGTAGAAAATTTCTAAAAAGATAACCTGCGTCTTTCATCCTTTTAATGTTATTACACTAGTTTTAACTACCTGACGTAAAAGAGCTCAAGAAAAGGGGGGTGCACTTTGTGCAATATTTTGAACCAACATCTAAATATTGCCATAAAAGCAAGAAGTTCTCTTCTCTTGCAGAGGAAAATAAAAACGAAAACAGATAGCAGGTGGCATTTAGATAAGGCGGCAAAGAAACGACTTTGTGGCCGCGGCCGTTTTCTGCCATATTTCGTTGATAAGCCTTTTATTGAGCTGCGCATTCTTCTTGCCGTGCCCCCGCCAGCGCCTTTTGCCTTTTTACGCGTTTTCGCCAAAGAAAATGCTGCCCCGCGCTTTAATCACCAGAGAGCGAGATGAATATTTTATTTACGCTCATTAAAAAGTTAGCAGCGTCCGTCCTGCAGCTTTTGTGATCTTTCGTACGCGCTCCCTTTGGAAATTTGCGCCACCCTTAACGAGATACGCGGCTCTTCTCTCATTTTCCCGCGCCACGACGCACGCAAATTGAGAAAAAATTTGCATGAATTCACGTAGCGAGAATTACAACAAGTATTCAAAAACTTCCCTGATTACAAAAATTTTGCTCTATGAAAAAACAACTTGCAAGCATGAAATTCTAGGAGGAGAAATTCATTATTTTTTTGCACTTGCAGATAAAAAAAAATGTAAATTTAATAAAGCTTCAAAGCTCCCAGGAGGATAAAATTTTAATATACATAATTAAATAAATGGTCGCTTCACACAGGTCTTTTCAGTATTGAATTATGAATTTAAAAAGCAGCATAATGGCAACTCTTAATTATCTGTTAAAGGCGGCGATCGATCTTAAAAAACATAAAATTGGGGGTTTTCTTAATCAAAATTTTATGAGACTTCGATTTTAGAATTTTAAAATTGAATACTCAATGAAAACAAACAGACAGATAGTTTAAATTTAAAGTTCAATGGTTCAAATTTTAGCATATTTCAGAATGAAATAATGCTTTAAAAACTTTTTAAGTGATTTAAAAAAATAATGTTGAAATTTTAAGTTTTCAAAATTTCCTTTGCGATTCATTTCTTCACTATTTTTATCGTACGTAGGAACCTTCATGCATTGTGTAGAATTTTAATTTCCAGCGTTGATGAAAGGGGTGCACGCGTTCGCCATTCGCGGCTTGTGCAGTGTGGCTGGTGACCAGTTGGTCAGCGTGGACCAGGAGGCCGAGATGACTGTGTGGTCAGTGGTGTGGCCCTCAGCAGGTCTCTGCCACTTGGTGCGCAACGTCCAGCGACACTTGCACTCAGAACTCGGCAGGGAAGGGTGAGTTAAATATCCATCTCGAGCCAATATTTTATTCTAGAATTAAAAAAATAATGAATATTTTTTATGACTTCTCTAAATAATTAATATTTCAATCAAGAAATTTTTTCCTCTTACAATAATTGTCCCAACGGGGTTCATCAAATTTTAAAGTAATTAAGGTGGCGAAAGAGTCAATTTAATAAATTGATATTTTCAAAGTCATTATATCGACTTAAAATTTGATTTATTTAAATGCTTTATTAATCTTACAATAAATAGAAAACATTTTAAAGAAAATTTAAATGTCACGAATTATATTTTATTTATTTTTTATTATTTATTTGCAAGATTATATTTTCATTGTTTTAAAATTTCAGTGTTTTTATAATAGTAAAAAACATAAAAGCAGCAAAAGAAAATCTTCGTATTTCTGAAAGAGGCTTAATTTTAATAAATTCAATCGGGACGGTGTATTGACGAGAGAAATGGAATCAGATTGCAAAATAAGTAAGTTTGAGTTTAGCACTTTTGTAAGTTTGAATACCCAATATACCATTGATGCTGATGATTTATGGAAAATTTTGAATCATATTTTTGTAAATTTTTTGAAGTAGGAATTAAAAAAATAGGATATTTCTTTAATATGATCAACTTATGAAAAAAATGGATTATTTATTCAAAATCAGGGAGTCTGCAGAGGTGACGGACGTGGCTGTGGTGAAGGAGAGGTTGCTGGTCGCTTTTGACACTGCCCTGGTCGCTGCCCTGTCGCCCCTTTCGCAGGCTGGCAAGGTCAAAAAGTACGCCTCCGTTCGAGGTGCGCAAGTTTTAAAAATTCATTAAAATCCTTAAGTACTCTTTGAGTATGGAATTTTAATTTCAAGAAAAGTAAACGTAGGTAGTGGGAAAAGTTGAAAGTCTTTTATTTTTTCTTGCGAGCAGGGAAAGTTCTGGGCGACACGAGGCTGGCAGCGAGTCCGCAAGGCAAGAACTCTCCGTACTTCTTGGTAAGAGTAAAATATAATTCCGCGTATATGTTCCAACTTTTGCGCCGCACCAGAGGAGGAGCAAACGGATTATCACTCACAAGAGACACGTTCGCACATCCATCTGTGTCAACCTTCACATTTGCAGATTCTCTCCAAACACAAGTGAAGAGTAGAAGTGGAAAGTGAATTTCAGAGATTTATTTGAGAATTATAGAGATGAGAAAAAACGACAAACTTCTTGTAAAAATTATATTTGGTTTGGAGAGAATTTGCATGTAATTTTATTGTTCAAATATTAACTTGCAAAAGAAAATATAAAAAAAATTCATATTTTTATCTCCTTTTCAATTTATGCATTTTTAAATTGTAAAAAACGAAGATCAAATATTTTTCTTTTTGAAATTAAGGTGCTGGACGGATACCGAGACGTGACTTTGTTCCACCTGGAGCAGTCGCGGGCGTTGTGGCAACTGCCCTCACACGCCACCAATGACCTGCGACCCCAGAGCATCTCTTGGGCGTCGGCCGGGCTGTGGTTGTTGCTGGGCAGTGGGACGCGACTCGCCCTGTGGGACGTCGACGTGTCCGGCAACGAAAACTGCCGTCAGGTGGCCGCCTGCGACACCCACAAGAATCTCGTGTAATGCCTCTAATTCAATGGGAGTTTTAATGTTAATTACTTTAATTACCTGTTAAATTTCAGGTAGGAATGCAAATTACTCCCGTTTAAATATTATTGATTATTAATTTCTCTGGTAAAAACTGTAGCTTTTGTGGCATTAAACAAGAGACTAAATTATTTATTTAATTAGCCGGGATCCACTTGTAATATAAATAAAATGCAGGAGAAAAGTTTAATTAATTCTGTTGAATTAATTATTATTGTTTTGTCAAATGAAATTAAATACACGTCATATTTATCAATAAAATCAAAATAGAGCAATAAGAGCAAAATAGATCAATGATCAAATGAGCAATTCGGATCGAGAGTTTTCAATCACTTTTCTTACACATCGCCGCGGCTGCGGCGGAGAGAGAGAAGGAAAGCAGGGGCTGCTGCTGGAGTTGCCGTGCTGCTGCTTCGGGGCGGCCGGAGGGCCGCGCTGACGTCACAGCTACTCAGGGGCGCCTCGGAAGGGCGCAGGGTTGCTCAGGGTGGCCGGTGGGGCGTTTGCGCGTCTATTTGGAGTAGACGAGGTGGGCAAACTTGGCAAAACCCCGCTCTCGCAGTGTCACAAGGAAAACCACCCGAAAACCTGTGACGAGAGCCGAAACCGAGCCGAAAAGTCTCTCAAACTCACAAATCAGGCTAATTAGAAATGTTCACTGGTTTCAGTTCAAGGATCGAGCCTGATAACTTGGAAATGCGCGCACAATCAATTTACAATGAAAAACAATTACAGTGAGATAAACTCCCGAGCGAGGTGCACTCGGGGGCTGCTTGGAGCGAAGTGATACTTCTTATTTTTAATACAAAATCTCTGCACAGAGTTGGTCAGCGAGCGAGGCTAGTTTATATTACATTTGATTGGTCGGTCCTCAGGAGGGTGGGTTTTACCTCCTTTGGGCCTACGTGCAGTTTGCGCTTTTCTTTCTCACGCGCTTCCTGCTTAAAATTCAGGTACACGAAAAACATCTTCAGAGAAATACATTCTTTCTTATATTATTTACGGATGGTTGTAAAAGAGAAATCTGGCGACGGCCAGACCGCGAACATCTGCACAAACGCACTCTTTTCTTTCTTCTTCTTCTGCGTGTGGTCAGGGCAGATTATAAGGGTGAGCGCTGGGCGCGCTCTATTGTTCGGCGTCTCTCTCAGGTACCTGCTCCTGCAGGTACTCGGCCGTGCGGTCGTCCCATCTCTCAGCGTTTCTCCTCTCTCATCTCTCATTATCCTAAATGCTCATATATTGACCATTGCTCTTAATTAAATTATAGACGTGTGAATTAAATAGTTGAATTTATATTGATGATTGCTCTTTAATTAGTCTGCTTAATTATTTTATATGAGAATTATGATCTTTTAATCAGGTGAATATTTTAATTAAATTTTTTATAAGGTAGACAAGTAATGGTATATTACATGCCACCCCGAAAATATTAAAACAGGGTGTTTTAAAATTTTCGCACTCTTCATCACACATTCTTAGTGTCCTCAAACGTGCAAGCAAGCTCATGCCATTTTGACACTCATGCAAATTCACATCAATTTCACCAAACCATTTTCTCAAACACACTATATTTCTAGTGTGCGTAAATTTTTAAAAGTTGTTTTCCTTCTGATTAATATCAGAAATGCAAAATTATGTTTAAATATTTGGTTTTTAAGTAGCAAATTTGGCTCCTTGGCTTGCTCGACCAGAATAAAATTTTAATAGCAGTTTGGGATCCTTGGCCTGCATAACCAGAATTAACATTACAAGCAATTTGGGCTCCTTGGCTTGCTTAACCAGAATTAAATCTTTTGCTTGGATTCAAACTCAACACCCACGAAGAGGTGGAGCGAAACCGAGCGCCACTCTACACGCACTTGCCGTGGAGCGGGCCAGCAATTTGGGCTCCTTGGCTTGCTTAACCAGAATTAAATTTTTTGCTTGGATTCAAACTCAACACCCACGATGAGGTGGAGCGAAAACGAGCGCCACTCTACACGCACTTGCCGTGGAGCGGACTTTTCAATGAAATTTAAGGTCAACTCAACACCCACGAAGAGGTGGAGCGATTTATTTTTATAAAATTGATTATTTATACAATTGATTATGAAATCAACCGTGGTCACTTGAATTAACGAATTATCATTATATTATTATTTCTCCAAGAAGCTACTCAACACCCACGAAGAGGCGGAGCAAACAGTTAATTGCTTTAAATTTTAATTCAATATTAAATTGTTTCTCTTTTTTTTTCAATAATTAATATGCCACCCAGAATTTAATTTTAAGATCTGGGTGATTTAATTAAATTTATTCCTTTTTCTTTAATTCCTTTTTCTTCAAGAATTTATTCAGATTTTTGTTGTTTCTGCTGCGTTTCTTTGATCGTCGAGTTGATTTTGTTAAATCTGATGGACTTATTGTTTTTCCAGAAAAATCATTTTTTGTTAAACTTCCTTGAGAATTACTTGCCGGTGTATTTTTCTCTGCAAAATTTTCCCTTGATTCATTTGAACCTTCTCGTTCATTTTGCTCCCGAATAATGTCAAAGCTATTCAATGCTTCATATAATTGTTGAGTGTTTTTTATACTACTTTGGATGCTCAGTAGATATCCTGCATATATTCCCTTTTGAAATGACTTAGCCAGGCCCAAAATGATTCTATCAAATTCCATTTCAGGGCTAAACTTTTTAATTCTACTCATTAGTCTGTCAAAGAATTGAGAAAAAGTCTCATTTCTATCTTCTGATGGAAATTTTTCATTGAAAATTAGTGATTCGAATTTTTGTTTCTGAACCGAATTACTCCAAAATCGCGATAAAAAGCTATCTTTAAATTGGTCGTAGTTTTCAAAATCAAAGTTGCCTGCCACCCATTCCCTGGATTTTCCACTAAAACATTGAGCGGCGCACTTCAATTTCATTCGGTCATTTGTAATATTTTGCCAATGGAAATATTCGTCGAGTTTCCGAAGAAAGACTGGAGGTGCAATTTTCTCCTCCTCAAAAGTCGGTAGTTCGTCACTTTGAAAAACGCCAAAGTTTGCAAAAGACATTGGTCTATAAAATTCGCCAGAAAAACCCGAATGAGCCGACGATTGGGTGTGTGTCAGTGTTGGTGCTAATTGAGGTGTCGCGGTGATAATTTCAGTTTGATTTTGTGTGCAATTTTCTGTTGGTGGTTGTTGCTGTGGTTGTGTTATTTGATTATTTTGTTGGTTTTGCGTAAACTGAGAAAAGAGATTTGTGACAGTGTTGTTTAATTGTTCGGCAACAGAGCCAAGCTGCGCTTGAAGCGTCGCTTGCACTTGTTGGTGTATATATTCATCGTTCCGTGTTCGTCTCATTTTAATAAATTGATTTCCCAATTCCCACTTTAATTGATTTAAAACGAGAGAATGTCAGACAGAGTCTGCTCAAAACTCGTTAATGTGAAGTGGATAGGACTGGAAGTTTGAAATAAATTCTAAATTTTTAGGATTATTCATTAAATTTGGCAAATGCCGCTTTTGTTGTTTACGAGCACTGGCGGATCAAAATCTCGAGTAATGAGAGTAAGATCCGACAGCTCAGATAGAAATTGTATCAAAATTTAATATGATTATAATTATTATTTTTGATTAGCTGATTCCCAACTCAGCCCAATTTTGAGTGGATCCGGCCCGGAGGATCAAAATCTCATGTAATGAGATGAAGATCCGACGGGGCGGATAAAATTTAATTATTTGTCTTTAACGATAAGTTCGTATGCTGATTCCCGCCTCTATTAATTGGCGAGAGGGGATCCGGCAGGCGGACCAATTTCTCGAGTAATGAGATAAGGGTCCGACTGGATGGATAAAAGTAAATCAAATTAAATTGATTAATTTTAATTATTTTGCTGATTCCCGCCTCTATTATATGGCGAGAGGGGATCCGGCCACCGGAGGACCAAAATCTCATGTAATGAGACGAAGGTCCGACGGGGCGGATGGGAGAAATATCAAAATTGCAATAATTAATATCTTATCGAAATGCTGATTCCCGCCTCTATTAATTAGCAAGAGCGGATCCGGCCACCGGAGGACCAAAATCTCGTGTAATGCCTCTAATTCAATGGGAGTTTTAATGTTAATTACTTTAATTACCTGTTAAATTTCAGGTAGGAATGCAAATTACTCCCGTTTAAATATTATTGATTATTAATTTCTCTGGTAAAAACTGTAGCTTTTGTGGCATTAAACAAGAGACTAAATTATTTATTTAATTAGCCGGGATCCACTTGTAATATAAATAAAATGCAGGAGAAAAGTTTAATTAATTCTGTTGAATTAATTATTATTGTTTTGTCAAATGAAATTAAATACACGTCATATTTATCAATAAAATCAAAATAGAGCAATAAGAGCAAAATAGATCAATGATCAAATGAGCAATTCGGATCGAGAGTTTTCAATCACTTTTCTTACACATCGCCGCGGCTGCGGCGGAGAGAGAGAAGGAAAGCAGGGGCTGCTGCTGGAGTTGCCGTGCTGCTGCTTCGGGGCGGCCGGAGGGCCGCGCTGACGTCACAGCTACTCAGGGGCGCCTCGGAAGGGCGCAGGGTTGCTCAGGGTGGCCGGTGGGGCGTTTGCGCGTCTATTTGGAGTAGACGAGGTGGGCAAACTTGGCAAAACCCCGCTCTCGCAGTGTCACAAGGAAAACCACCCGAAAACCTGTGACGAGAGCCGAAACCGAGCCGAAAAGTCTCTCAAACTCACAAATCAGGCTAATTAGAAATGTTCACTGGTTTCAGTTCAAGGATCGAGCCTGATAACTTGGAAATGCGCGCACAATCAATTTACAATGAAAAACAATTACAGTGAGATAAACTCCCGAGCGAGGTGCACTCGGGGGCTGCTTGGAGCGAAGTGATACTTCTTATTTTTAATACAAAATCTCTGCACAGAGTTGGTCAGCGAGCGAGGCTAGTTTATATTACATTTGATTGGTCGGTCCTCAGGAGGGTGGGTTTTACCTCCTTTGGGCCTACGTGCAGTTTGCGCTTTTCTTTCTCACGCGCTTCCTGCTTAAAATTCAGGTACACGAAAAACATCTTCAGAGAAATACATTCTTTCTTATATTATTTACGGATGGTTGTAAAAGAGAAATCTGGCGACGGCCAGACCGCGAACATCTGCACAAACGCACTCTTTTCTTTCTTCTTCTTCTGCGTGTGGTCAGGGCAGATTATAAGGGTGAGCGCTGGGCGCGCTCTATTGTTCGGCGTCTCTCTCAGGTACCTGCTCCTGCAGGTACTCGGCCGTGCGGTCGTCCCATCTCTCAGCGTTTCTCCTCTCTCATCTCTCATTATCCTAAATGCTCATATATTGACCATTGCTCTTAATTAAATTATAGACGTGTGAATTAAATAGTTGAATTTATATTGATGATTGCTCTTTAATTAGTCTGCTTAATTATTTTATATGAGAATTATGATCTTTTAATCAGGTGAATATTTTAATTAAATTTTTTATAAGGTAGACAAGTAATGGTATATTACAAGCGCGTCGTTAACCTCCTCGCCTCAGCCGTCACCAACAATCTGGTCAGTCAGAATAAAGCAATAAACAATTCTTTTATTTTCGACAGTAAATGAGACAAACTCCCTCATTTAATTAATTTTTGTTATTAAATTGAATGCAGAAAATTCAAACCTTTTTCATAATAATGCAGTTTTTGTCAAAGAATAAGAAAAAATCTTAGGCAACCGTAATTATCAAGGCATATAATTTAAATCTTATAAATTTGAAGATCAATAAGAATTTCAGAATCTAACATTTTCAGTTTTTTTTGTAAAGAAGTAAAAAAATAAAATTATTTTAATTTTCATGCAGAACATTCAAAATTTACATGAATTTTTGGGCAGCTTTTTTAATTTATATTCAATTGATGCTCAGATTTTAAAAAAAAAAAAAATCTTAAAAACATGGCAAAAGTTGTTAGGATTAATTGAAAATGTTTGTATGGCTCACTCAGTCCATTTCAAATTTTATGGGGATGGCTACACTAAACTTTTGCTGTAAAAATATTGCTAGTGATGTCTCGCTTTCCCTCCATTTTTACCAATTTTTCACAAAGAAATTTTTCCGTTCATAACTCGGTTTATGTATTGCAAGGAGTTGTTGGCGAAATAAATCGCATTAAAATGACGGGGATGCGAGAAATCATGACGGGGATTTTGCGCAGGACAAAACGAGATAAGCTCTATTTATTTCATCCTATTTTATGGCCACTTTTTGCGTCACACAGCAAGAAATCACAAATCCTGTTCTCTATCTGCGTGACACCCCGAAAACTTTTCTCCCCCGAATGGATTTTTCGCGCGCGATAAAATCGCTCTTCCGTTTCCTCTCTCCGCAAACTTCCAACACCAGTAAACAATCTCTGCTGTTTTTTTTAAGGGGAAATAGCAAATCGCATTTTACATGCATGTTCATATATATTTGAAACAGATCCATTTTGGAAGTTGCTCTCTGCCACTGACACGTGTTTTTCGCCTCACATTAATCCATCGGTTGCAGAAAAGAAGTGAGAAATCGATGCTTGTTTGTTGCAGGTCGTCAGCACCTCCGACGGCGAACTCCTTTCCCTTTCCATCAAACTGCGTTCTTCCTTCTCAAGAAAATAAAATTCTCTTCGCCCGTCTGAAAAGTGCGTGCGGCGCCGGCGTTTTCCCACAACGCGATTAGCACTTTTCCTTTTTCCACTCCCCTGTGTGCTCAAGGAATTAGCCGCTTTTGCACCCAGCAGCGGCTTATGCAGATCATATTAAAGAGAGGTATGTGTCTGCTGAGATCCGGAAAAGTGGGAGAAATTGCCAGCTAATTCAACTACAATTGTAAATTGATAAGAATTAAAACTTGAAAGCGTTTCAAGTTAAAGATAAAACAATTTTATAGCTATACAGCCTAGGCGGCCCGCGGAATTCTCCGAGGCCCTAAACGCAGCGTTTTGGGCATCGGAGAACGCCGCGGGCCGCCTAGGTTATACTGTTAAGCAAAACGACAATTTTTAAATCATTTCATAACAAACACACTCTTGAAAAAGGGTTCCATTTTTGGATTTGTTTGGATTGAATAAATAGCTAAAGGTAGGAGTATTTTCAACATTGTATCATTTTAACTATAACAAACATTTATGTAGGAAATTTACAGGATAAAATCAACTCTCCATTTAGATAGAACGCTTTGTAGGAGTAAAAATAAAGGGATTTATGATGTTAATTACTCAACTAAAAAAAGCATAATATGTTGGTTTTTTAAATTAAAAGTTTGCTACTAAATACACAAAGCATAATTCTGTAAATTGATATGTAGAAGACAGGCTAATTCAATACGTAAAGATGAATTGGGATACAATATGAAAGTAAACATCCAAGCAATTCATTTCTTTGATGTGAATTCATCTCAAGACTGAAAGTAGCTCAAAGAGGGAATAAATTTATCTATTAACACACCCATGGAAGCATTAAAAGTGTTTTATTAGTCCCTTTATCACCGAGCGCTCAAGATAAATAAACTCGCGACTTTTTCTATTTTCACTCATTTGCTCACTCAAAGAGCTCTCAGATTTTCTCCAGAGCATAAAAGAAGAAAAACATAAATCGTGGCGGAAATTTCCCCAAATAGGAAAAAACACGGCGCGCGGCGGCGGCTATTCATCTCGCCTGAATTACTTCCGGGGATTTAAGCATTCTTTGGACTGTGCACCAAGTTTTTTGCCAACACACACAGAGAGAAGTGCTCATTATTTTTCCTGCCAGCAGAGAAGGAAGAAGAAGGGCGGCCCGGAACGGTTGCAGGAAGCGAGGGTGCTGCGTTGTGCCGCAGAGAGATGCAAATTGCAAACATCAAAACCCGCAGCCAAAGTGGCACAATTTCATTAAAAAAAGTGCCGGTCGGATGTTCTGATGGCGTGCGCGCAAGTTGAGTGAATATTTACATTCATTAAGGCTTTTTTTAATTAAGATAAATACTTTGTTAATTATTAGATTACAAATTATAAAGGAAAAAATCATTCTTTGTCGTAAATCAATTAAAAAAACCATTCTCGCTAGCTTTTGATTTATAAAAAGTCAATGTTAATGGATAGTTTTTCATTACTTTGATACAAAAATGATCAAATAAATTTATAAATTATCACAAAAATTTAAACATTTTTGAAAAAGAGTAATTCTCCATACAGTTTATTTGTATTGCACAAATGTTTGTTTAAATCTCAATAATCTTTGTGAAAATCTCTCTGCTCAATTTTTCTTTCCTTCAGCTCCCGCAATCATCTCCCTACACCACAGGCGAGAAATGCTTTGCAAATTGTGTTATTCGATGGAGTGGCGATGAAAATGAATCGCGTAGGAAAATCTAATCTCTGGCCAATCTAGGCCAGTGGACACTTTGTGCGATGGATTCGATTTGTAGCTGCATATTATGCTGCAGGAAACCTCGCCTGCATGAGACTGCCATATCAAGGGAGAAATCAAATCGCATGATCAGCCTTTTTTAATTAAGCAGACAAATTCATAAATTTTAGGGAATTTTCTACTTTTTACTATTTTACAGAATTAATCAATCCCAATAAAATAATACCTGATGAATTATGATTGCAAATATTTAATGCCTTTTTATTCAGAAAAGAAGGGACGTTTATAAATGAGCAAAGATTGAGATTGATTGATAAGATAAATAAGCAACACGTTTGTCAGAATTCATACCAAAAATTAGCGGCGTAATTAATGGTAGACTTTTTGTGTTGTGATAAGATTAGATAGCAGTGGTTCGGTATTTTGGAACATAAAACGCACATCAACAAAAATCACTGGTATAAAAAAATTGTAGAAGATGAACATCTTGTCTCAAATTTAGAAGCACAATCATTGCTGGTAAGCATATCTGTTTTTTCTAGCAGGGATTTAATTTTTTTTTTTGCAAATTTGATTATATACAATGTTTATTGGTTAAAGAAAGCAAGAATCCCTTAGAAAGATCTTTAGACCTTTGAAATTTTGATGGCCATAAGCTGGAAACGTTTACTTTAGAATTTGATTAATTAAAAAGTTTTATCAATTTCAAGATCTTCTTACAATTACTTATCAGATTTATTATTTCTTCAATTAATAATATTAATAAAAAAAATTAACAACGACTTCCATTCTAGATAAATTTTTTCTCATTTTTAATGCTCTTTTGAGAGCTATGCTAATGAAATTTTTGCATGTGTATGAAGGAAAATAAAACGGACCAAATTATTCGGTGGCCAGAATTTTTATGGCTATATCCTAAAATGAATTAAAATGCCAAACTCTTTGACTCTGGATACAACTATCGAGCATGGTAAGAGTTCAAATAATATCTTAAAATTGCTTGTTTAAAAAACATAACATGAACACAGGATTTTCTCTCCGCTCTCCTCAAGAGGGAGCGAAGTTAGGATTCTTTGAGACTGAAGATGGAGTTGAAAACGGGGAGAAGTAAAAATTAATATTTTCCTCACTAAATGTTTTAATAATTTTTCTTTCAAAGTGTTTTTGTGTTTGTGGTGCACTATGATTTTAAGGGTTGCGCAGGGGATTGGCCTCGGCCAGGAAACAACAAAGACGTTGAAAATTTGAGGGAAACTTTTGGAGAAAAAAGGAGTTGCAGATTCCGCGAGTGGTCGTCACCAAGAAAGGAAGACTTTTTGACTCTGCTCGCTAACGAGAATAAACTAAAAAGATACTTTGCCTCTGAAGGTAGATTTAATTTTCAAGTGTGTAAAATCCACATAATTTGAATTGCATTTTAGATGATGCACCATCCGTGTTCGTTTTGTACGTTTTGTCTCATGGAGATGAAGACGGGGTTATTTACACAGACACCCCTTACTACCTCAATCAATACGAGACATTCAACACCAAGGACGTTTTTGATTCTTTAGAGCATGTTTTTTCTAAGAGCCTTAAATTTATATTTCTTGGGGTGAAATCTTTTAAACTGAACTAAAATATATAATTAATTTAAGTTTATAACAGCCCTGCAGAGGAAAGGTGGATGACAAAGTTTTTAATCCTAACGACGGCCAGTTGCCAAATAAAAATTCATGCAGAGTCTCATTTGAGCCAAAAGCGCGCAATTTGATCATCCTTTACTCAACTGTTGAGAGTTAATAATTTAAAAATTATATAATGTGGAACTCTTATTTTAATTTTTTATCAGCCACAGCGGCAAAGAGGGATGACGGAGGTACCTGGATGGTGAAATTTTCGTGCGATCAGTTGAACGAGATGAGGAAAAACGAAAGTGTTACAAAGTTTTTGACAGGTGTGCAAAACAGAATTCACACTGAGACGACAATGTTTCGAAACCAAGGGCAGACGCCCGAATTGAAAATGAATTCACAAGACAGAAAATTCACTTTTTCATGTCTTGATAAGTGAGTTTTACATTTTTTAAATAACCTTCATATGAGCATATTCCTTTTAGAAAAATCTTAGCAAGTTCGTCGCGAACTGGGACGGATGCCAAAGGGACAAATCCTAGCGTGGAAAGCGTCAAATTTGAAGAATCGCGTTCGATTAATTTTGATTGGTGGAACCCGATTTCAAAAACGGTGCTCAGAGGAAGACGCGCAGTGATTTTCCATCAAGGAAGCGAGAATAATGATCAGATTAAAAGTCTTGATTGTGCTTTGATAAAAAATCTTGGATTTGAAACAATCACTGCGAAACTCAACGAGGCAGGACTAAATCATTACTGCAACAAATTAGGTTTTTTATTTAATGAACTATATTTTTATATTTTAATGTAAGACTTAAATTGATTTGCCTGCTTTCAGAAAATGCATGTTGGGATGATTACGGTTGTTTTGCGGCCTTTACTTTTGCCGAGATATTAGAACGGGAAGATGGAGATGTTTGCATTCGCCTCGATGAAATTGAAATTAAATCGGTCGGTGATTTCATCCATGGACTTCTGGGGCCAAAAAACGACGCTTGGATCGGCAAACCAAAGCTTTTCTTTTTTTATTGATACAAAATACACGGCTGCGGACAGCAATGCAAGTGTACTTCATGAAAATTAATTAAATTACTCGTCAGTATTTTTAATAAATTAAAATACAATTCTAGGCAGAGACTGAAAAGTTTAAAAAATGCATCAGGGCCACTAATCATAGCGGCTGGCTAGCATTTTATCTCCAGGACAAAGGTGAATAGGACCTGCTTTTTAATACATTTATTACTCTTTAATTTTAATCAAAAATTTAGATATCATCCAAGCATTTTTAAACGTCTTTAAAAGGGAGGAAATCAAGAGCACGATAAGCTTGCAAGAGTTACTGAGTGATTTACTTGTGAGACCAAATTGCGCTACTGAGTTGAAAGCAATGCTTGTTTCTACTTTGCCGCACTTATTGCTTTTTCCAGAGGTGGAAAGAAATTTCATCCTACCCAACTTTAACATAACAGTCGGTCATTTCGGATGCAACACAATCGATTATACAACATTGATGAATTACGCAATGCAAGTAAAAGAAAACAAAATTTGGCTTCTGTCTTCACTCCCAGGATCTGGAAAGTCTACAGTGATGCGCGAAATCGCGTTTGAACTGCAACAAGAACTAGAAATTGGTTTCAAAGTTTTCACAGTCGTTCTTTTTCGCGTCTACAGGTTTTTCTCTGAAGCTAAAAAGATGAAGTTAAAACCACCTTTCCTTGCCTCTATTGTCGCTCATGCAACAGGAAACCAAGAGGAAGATGTTCAGAATTATATTGCAGAAGAGAGAATTGTATTGATGTTTGATGGTTTTGACGAAATCTGCCCAAAACACCGAGAACAAGTGCTCAACTTGTTTGTAGAAGCGGTAGAACGAAACGTTCCAATTTGGATTTCAACAAGACCGAACGAGGAAGAAGCAATTCTTGCCAAAATGGGTGAAGTTCAAAGGGCTAGCATTCGTCCCCTCAGTGATTTTCAGCAGATGCAACTATTCAAGATGATTTCTAATAAACACGAAGAAGAGTGCAAGCTCCAGATAAAATTCTACCATCATGTTGGATCGGGCGATATTCTTGGCAACCCTCTTCATTTAAAATTGATTGCTGGAAGTGAGAGCAATGATTGCGATTTTTCAAGTGGAATGCATTTGTATGGCATTTACAAAAAAATCGTTGACAAGAAATTGCGACTTGCTTTGAGTGATATGGATCAAAAACACCCGCGTTTTGAGGATGAACTTGAGGATAGTATAAAAGAACTCGAAGAGTTTTCTGCCGAGTTCCTTTGCAACGGTTACAGTTCGAAACCGCTGAAAACTAAAAACAATGGAATAGTTATTGTCCACGATGAAAAAGTCCAATTCGTCCACCAAACTTTCGCGGAATTCTTTGCCGCTGGACATTATATCAGTTGTCTGATAGAAGAAAAACAGATTCCCTTTGATTTATTCAGAGAAGGGTTCCAACAAGTTCGTAAGTTTGTTGAAATAAAAATGTCTACAATGCTGAATGATGAACCTGAATTCCTTGAATCAGTAGAAAATGATTTATACTCCAGAAAAACGGAAGTCTTGAAAATCATCATCAATGAAAATCTGCCAACAATGTACAACATCTTAAAAACTCAAGTCACTTTTGGGAAGACTGGAAAACAGGGCTTAATTCATTTTGCTGAAAGTGATGAAATTATTAAGAATGCTTGTGAAAAAAGCGAAGTTATCGCATTGAGCTTTTTTGATTTAGGCGCATTTGAATGTTTAAAAGAACCTCATGAAACTGTCATCAAAATACTTGCTAGTGCACTTAGGAACAATTATTTGGGTCTCTTTTCTACACTGGAAGAAAAGTGTACACAAGCACAATTATGCTTGGTGGATCTAGCTCGTCAAAATGAAATAATACAGAACGCTGTGATAATTACAGCTTCAGAGAATTATCACAAGATGATGAGATTGATGCTTGACAAAGGAATGTTTGACCCGCGTTATGAATCTTTTGTTCTAGAGGCTGCAGTGAAGAATAATAGTGTTGATTGTGTTGAGCTGCTGATTGATCATGGTGCGCTTACTGAGAATTATTTTATTAATTTCAGTGGATCCATGAACCACATATATCCGCCTTTAAAATTGAACACGTTGAAGGCACTACTCATCAAAATGAAAACAGAATCTGCTGAAAAATTAGCAGCCGAAATTTTCAAATACTGCCTGTCATTTGAAATTGTAGAAGTGGCCGAGTTTTTGCACGCAACGTACCACGACCTGCGTCCTGAAGCTTTTGCAGTTGACGGACTTGTGTTGTTGAGGGTAGCAGCTGGATCACAATTTGAAGTTGCAACCGCTATGTGCCGCTGGCTGGTTAAAAAAGTTGGGCTCAAAGTGAGGGATTATTGTGATATGAATGGACTAAATGCTTTTCAACTTGCGGTCAAAGTTGGAAATTTGGAGTTAGTCAAGTTTTTCCTCAAAAGAGAGCCATGGTTTATACATTTCTTCACCGACACAGGTGAAAGCGTCGTTCACTTATCAGCTCAAATTGAGAGTGAGAACTCCTCTGGGGAAAAAAATGTATGTAACATGATTGCATTTCTGCACAAGGCGGACAATCAGTTAATTCATCAACATACAGCTCTAAGCCAAACAGCATTGCATTTCGCAGCGAAAGCAGCTAATTATGAATTGTGCAAATTTTTAGTGGAAGAAAGTGTTGACCTCTCTGTTTTAGACTATAAAAGGTGGAATGCAGCGCACTACGCGGCTAAATCATTTTGTTTCTCCAGATCAGAAAGAATAATTTGTTATTTTCAACGAAAAAATCCAGAATTTATCAAGGATGTAACGCTTGATGGAAGTACGTTGCTTCACATCGCTGCTCAAAATTGGGCAGCAGACAGGAAAGCATTTGAAAGGTTGATGGTGTCAACAGGCCTGGATTTGAGAGCCGTGGACAGTGACGGATGGAATGCAATTCACATGGCAGCGAGTATCGGATATGATGAAATGGTCAAAATGTTAGTTAATATCGATCCTGAGCTCATTAACTCATTGACCAATGAAGGTGAAAACGTCATGCACTTGTTGACAGGATGTCAGAGATATTTCAAAGACGATTTTAAATATCTACATCAGTATAATGGAGATTTGATCAAGCAAAAAACCAAGACAAATAGAACCGTGCTCCATTATGCTGCAGGATTTAGTCATGCGGCGTTTTGCTTTTGGTTATGTGAAAAGGGTGTTGAAACGGACTCGGTGGACAAAAATGGTTGGAACTGTCTACATTTTTCCGCTAGTAATACCAATCATCAGGAGGCATTAGCAATATCAGAATATTTGAACAAAATAAATTCCTTACTGATTAGGCAACTGACCAAAAGGAACGAAACTGCACTGCATATTGCGGCTAAATTGGGAAATTACAAACTATGTAAGTTCCTTATTGAAAGTGGCGTCAATGCTGCAGTGCCAGATGTAGCAGGGCAAACCGCTTTTCAATTAATAAATGACGTTCACGTCAGGGAACAATTACATGCATATAACATGTTGGAGTGATCTGTAAGGATTTTACACTTTAAGAAAGATTTAATTACAAATTATTAAAATAATATAAACTGTTTATTTATTTACTTAACATCCCAATGCATAATGTTTGCTCATGGGGCAGAAAAACATAATTTGGAACTTTTTGATGGAACTATTCCTCGATTTGAAACCATTTAGTTTAGGTTTAAACTGCTAAACTTTCTTAATATGACATATTAAATTCATCAACATGCGAGTTCCACAAAAAATTAATTTTAAAATAATATGCCCCATTAATTTCTATGAAAGGCCCTCTCCAGCTATGTATTACGCTTAAAAATTGGACGCAAGAAATATTTTTGGTCAGAGAAACCCCCATGCCGTTTGCGCGACCGCGCGGGGTCAGGCGCTATTTGAAATAGGACGAAATTGGAAATTTAATTTTAACTCTGGAATCCGAATTTCATTAAAAAATATTCAGCCGTTTTCAAATGACAGCTTGTTTTCCACAACGCGCCACTCGTCTACGTCTGCAGTTGGGGGTCCTATTATATATTATTTTTTTTATTTAAAAACGGCTCAGTGTTTGTGTGTGAAAATTGAGTGTCAGGGTCAAAATTAAATTTTACATCGATTGGCTATCTTGAAAAAATTCCTAAAAATTTATTTCTATGCGAAAAAATTAAATTTTGACTTTGAGTCTTCCACACGCAAGTAAAAACAATTCTGACGTCATCACGCCAGTGAAAGAATTTGCAGGAAATTTAATTGGCATCTTATAGGGTTTATATTTTTAAAATTTTTTCTCTATTTTTAAAATTACCAGAACAAAATTCTTGCGGAAACGTGAATAACTACGCTCCAGATCAATATTTATTAAAAAGATTTAAATATCAGGTTATTGAATAAGTTTATTACCAAAGCTGAAAATATGAAAACTCTAAATTAACGCGAACTTAAAAAAGTTGCATTCGCGCGAGAGTCTAAAATTTGGCTTTTCGCTCACTCGCCGCACTCTTGTTGCTGCTGCCCGAGCTGCCGGCTGAAAGAAAGTGCCAAGCGCATGACCACTGGCTCGGCCATTCACGGCGCACGGCTGCCGTCTCCAAGCAGGAGACACCACTGGAGACACCCCGCGTTCACGAAAAGGCGCGTGTTTTCGTCCTATTTCAAATAGCGCCTGACCCCGCGCGGTCGCGCAAACGGCATGGGGGTTTCTCTGACCAAAAATATTTCTTGCGTCCAATTTTTAAGCGTAATACATAGCTGGAGAGGGCCTTGAAGTTGCTGAAATTTTAAAAATAAATGTGGGAATATAGCAAAAGTAAAATGGGTGATTGATTTGCTTCACATGATCTACAAACGTGCGACAGTATAAAAACAGCACTTTTATTTTGCACCACCCGTTGATAAACTTTGGCGTTCTCTTGGGACTTTTCTCACCTCTCTGATGTTGGCTCGTTATTTTTCAGCAAAGTTTCCCCTTTAATCAATCAGCAAGAAGCAAAACGCTTTCACACACACAACTCTATTAGCACTACTTTCTGTTGCGACTTCAAAGGCGAGAGTCAGCAGAAAAGAAACTTACAAGAGCTGCGACGACGGAGAAACCCTTCAATTTTTACACTCTATTTATTTGACGTCTTCCATGATAAACAAATTGTCACAGTCAGAATCAGCTAACGAGTTGGATTCGTCTTGTTTGTTTTCTCCCAACTCGTCTAATTGCATTTTTAAGTAAGTTGAGATTTTTGCAGGACGTGATTTTTCCCACTGTTAAAAATGACTGTGTTTGAACGATTGCAACTTTTGAATGGGTGCGAGTTTTCTATCCCTCGTTAGAATGAAGAACTTTTCTAGTTTGTCTTACATCAAAACCAGAAGTGTAAATTGACCTGATTTGTGGCGACCGCGAGCTTAAGACATATTCTGAATTTTTATATTAGACTCATCAAGATGGTTTTTGATTGTGATAATAAATTGAACACAAGCCAGCAGTAAAAATTGTTTTTTTGAATTTTCCAGTTTGAGGGTTAGAATTTTTATTACATATCATTATTGATTATTCTTCTCATGTCATTAAATACAAAAATTGTAATTTATAAATTTGGAAAAATGAGAAGGTCTGCTAAAATATCCGACATCAAAAGAAGCTTGGGGACAAAAGAGATTATAACCGGATAATTTTTTTTACTAAAAACCTTTTCAGCTCAGAACACAAGAGGCATCCTTCAATATCTACAAGACCAATTTTTCTGTGCTAACATCCAGGCTAACAAAAAAATATATATTATACATATGGGGTTTAATTACTAAAAATATTAGCAAGAGAGGGTTGAAGTGAAAATTTGATTTAATCTCATTTCATCAACACAATTTGATGGAAATTTTTTGAGATATTTATTATTATTGTTTATTCTACTCAAGTCATACATGATAAAAATAGCTGGTGAAATTTGTTTTCAAATAACTGACCAGAGATAAAATTATTTTCCTTTTGTCGATTTGCAATCTACTTTTTTAAAGTTATCCATTTCATTTAAATAGATTGCGGCTTTTTCCTTATTTACATAGAGACAGGAAGTTTACATTTCCCTCATTTCACAGAACCCAAGTACAATTGCACACTTATATGCATTTTCCGGAACCTTGAGAGAGCGGAATGCACACGCGAGAGATATGCAGGGTGCATTTAAACAGCGAATCCCGCAATTGGCTTTTATTCCTCTGGGCAGAACGGACTGTGCATGCAAATTGTGTTGGTCTCTCTCTCTCTCTCACACACATAACATGCAGCTGCAAAGTGCACACGCGAATTGTCGTCGGGTGCAATATCGAGAAGCCACGACGAGACTCTCGCACACATACACACGTGTGCGCGCATATAAAAGTAAAATGCAAACAGCCACTTTGCGCGAATAAATTCCCGGCCAAAGAGAGCTGCCGGCTTCAATTTTATGGGGGTGTTATTTGCAGCACACCCTGCACACACATATATAGCACTTCATAAAATAAAAGTCGTTTTTCCCGTCGAGTTGAGGAAGAGATGCTTTTTTGCATTCGACCCAGCTCTCGCTCGGAAAAAGTATTTCCGAATGGCACTTTGAGACACACATAATGGCTCCTCCACGGCAATACAGACGCGCGCGCTTTAAAAGTACATATTTAAAGGGAGCTTTTTTTGTTTTGTTTTATGAATGAGCATTAACGCTGGCAGGAGAAGAAATTTCATTTTTATTTTTACCTTTCGTTGACGTTAATGGTTAAAATCTCTTGATGATTCGTTTCACATTTTTTTTTACACAAACATTTAACAAAAAATCTGAAGAGCTTTCAGAGTGATTTGCTCTGACAGCAGTTTTTCCTTATTCGGATTTCAAATATGTTGATCAGTGAAGAGCTCCTCTTACAATTAGTATACAGCAAAAAAGGATTTTATTTTAAAGAGGGTAAAAATAAAGGTATTTTTTTTTAACATGACCTATTCAGAATACTGTGCTTTTCAGGTGATCTCAAGAAAAGTGCTTCAGAATCAACAAAAACCCTTGGAATTAAATTCCAAATTATTCTCTTTTTTTAAATAATTTATACTTTGACTCATTTAAAGTCAAAATGAGAAAGCATTTTTAAGATTCATCTTTCGTATAATTGCCAACTTTGTTACAAAAGTTTTTTGTCTAATTTACAGTATTTAGCATTTCATTATCTTATTTTAATTAATTATGTTATTTTAAACTGCTATTATTATTATTATTTTCTATGCACATAAGACTTCATTGATTTATGAATTTGAACAAAAACTAATTTTTAGCCTTCAAATTATCATTAATTTTGTTAATATGCTACCAATCAACAATCTAATTAAAAAAATGTAAAAAAATAAATTTTTTTCTTTAGCCTTACTATAAATATAAAAAAAACTCAGCATTTTGGTAAACATGATACAAAATATATACTACATAAAACATTTTTATGGCAGGAGAAGTTCAGTAAGCAAACAAAATTGTTTACGGCACAAAAAGTAGAAGAAATATGTGTGTGTTTGGCATATTTTTATGGAACTTGTTTGTCACACTTGACAAAGACGGCGTGAGTTATGAGCATCGTTGTCGTTGCTCATTAGAATTTGCATTCAAAAATGATAAACCTCCTTCTTTTCTTCGTTCATTTTATGAGGGGGAGGGAATTTCCGCACTGTTCCGCAGTGGTGCTTTCCCAGGTCAATTAGGGGCGAACGTGTGCTCAGCCGGGATTCGCACCAAGGACTTTGCACGATAGACGAGTCCTTGCAACACACACTTCTTTGCACTCGCTTTTGCAAATCGATGCATGTAATCCGACGCTGTCCTCTTTTCCGTTCTCTCTGTTTCCACAAAATATCACAAATCAGCCATATCGGCTGTACAGCCCGGATTAAAGTTGCTTCTCGGCATAGCAATTATTTAAAGAGAAATAAATGCACAACTTTTCCTTGTTGCCTTGGATTACAGGAATTAATCGCAATTTTTATTCTTCCATTAACGATTTGTTTACAAAAATATTGATGGAGGATTTCAAATCAGTCACTTTTGTTTTTCGGTTTTGTTTGGATAAATATTAAACGCGTCATTTTAAATACAAAAAGCTTACTTTCCATACAAAATTTGCTATGCTTGCCCAACATACTCCGATTTATAATAATTAAAAAAAAACACACACAAGTTGGTCAGAAACTGAAAATTTAGTTATCAATTGATTTAGTAACTAATAAATCAAAGTCCTTCCATAACATGCCCAGATCGTTCGCATTTCTTATTATTATTTTTTTTTAATTGTTTTTCTTTTCCCGCAATAAATAATAAATATTTAATTTTACCTTTTTAGTGCATATTTATGCAGCTCATAATTAATCATAATCATAAAAAATCCAGAATTATATTTCAAAGCCTTGCTTGAAGTCATATTTAGAGCAAAAATAGAAAATGCAGGAAAAATTAGTCCCTGAAAGTTTTAAGTGTAAGGGTTGATCAAGATTGTCACGGGAAAAACGGAGGAAAGATTGCACGAGCAAATAGTAAACAAAAAGGAAAATTGCAGTGGCTTTTGCGGTTCATGGTCTGCGACGTTCGTGCACGGTGCAGCAAACATCATTTTTCTTCCATCCTTGTGTGTGTGTGTGCAGCTGGTTGCAGCACGGCATTTTTTTCTTTGCACTCGTACACCCGCAGTCGGCACAGCATTTGCGCTAATTTGCTCTCGGTGTGCACAAATTGCATATTGTTTTTATCTCTTTGGCTGCGAGTGCGGCTGCAGGTAAAGAACATGAGATTGTTGTGCTGTGAGGTCGTTGCTTTTATACAGCAAGTTCGCGTTGCTAATTAGCAAAATTATTATAAGAGACTTTGTGAAAAATGTGCGCATTTTCCCCATTGTAATAATCCTTTTTTTACCACAAAGTGGTGAAATGTTACTTGGAATATTTTTAATTAAAGAACTGAGAATAAGTAAATTTAATTTTAATTTTTCAACGATAATTTTTTGATAATTCCTGAACGATGAAAATTAGGTTTCAGATTTTATAAGGATTTATTTTACTTCTTTATAAAATGAAAAAGACTGGTTTTAATTTTTTGTTTTAGATTTGTAAAGGATATAAATGTGGAACTATATTACAATTAAATCAAATACCTAAATAGGCAGATATTTTTCAGAAGAAGAACAGAGACTTGTTGATTCAACACGATTCAACCTGGTCTAAAAATTCTGAATCAAATCTAATTATTTTTCTATCAAAAACACGATTTGAAAGTTACGGCTGTTCAAAAAGACTCGCTATTCAAAAAATGTCGTTGATTCTCATGTCAACATTATCTCTGATTGGAAATTGGAATCGAGGTAAAAATGTATTAGTAGAGGGATTGACGTTTAGCAGTTCACAAATATGCAACCCACGTCCTACACACAAAAGGGAACACCTCTAACTGATTTGGGTGGAAATTCAAAATGTATGACTTTTCCACGCCTAGTTTTAATAAAATCCTAAATTTATATGTTATATTACTCTCAAAATTAGATTGACATAAAATCGTGTAATGAATTAGGAAATCAGAAAAAAATAAGAGATATGAAAATCTATGACCAATATGACGTAATTTCAATTTTAGCACTTTAATTTCACCTGATACTTTTCAGTCCAGAAAAACTTATAAAAGCACAACTTTTTCAATAATTTTCAACGACTTTTTAATGGATATGAATATAAATTAATTGCAGATTTTAAATAATTTGTATATTTGGTTCTTTTGGTCCAAGATAAAGCACAGGAAAAAGTTTAATGTGCCTAACAAGTTTCCTAGAGATGTTCCCTTGTGAAGGCTGAAACTATATAGCTGCGGTGATGATTGCCCGCGGCATTAATTAAATCCACCGAGCGTGGCAGCAACGAACCCTGCGCGATATAAATCCGTTGGCGCGGAACTAATTGTCGTCTGACGTCATTTGCACGCCTAAAAGTGCAGCCGATTACAAATGCAAGTGGCGACCTGTGACAGTTTCCTGGCGGCAGACAAGGAAATTGACATGCACGTCTCTGTGCATAAATAATCCAATTTTTTCTGCCAATCACGTTTCAAAATCGATTTCCTTAAATTCCCTACAGGGAGCAGCTATTTTGGGGATTTTCGAACGCGCCTCACTTACGTAATTTAATAAAACTTTTGTGGTTAAACACGTGCGGATTTAACTACCCTCCTTATAACTATTGAGAAGTGTTTGTTAGGGAAGACGGGAAATGTGTAAATCAGTGAAAATCATCTAAATAATCAATTTGATAATTAAAAGCTGTAAGAACTTGCAGTGGGGAACCTAAAATTTGCCATTTCAGGTTAAACTGGAGATTTGTAATTATAATAGGCAGTTTTTTTTTTATTTTGACCCACTTTTGGCATGGGTCAACCGATTTGGATAAAATTTGGCAGGCCGATTCCTTTAGGTGTATAGAGATAGAGTTTCAAAGGATTTTGAAAAATTCTCAAAATTGCCTACTTTACAGGGGCTCAAAGTTAGGCATTTTTTTAAAAGGAGATTTTGAAAATCGAAAATATCTCGGTTTCTGTTAGAGATACGCTAAAAAGTATAATAACCAAAGTTGTTGGGATTGAGACGACCTACAACTTTACTATGGTGCCCAAAGTCGTAAGTCAAAGTTCAAGGTCACTTTTACCATAATTAATTTTTAAATTTGCTGCTGAAGTGCCTAGTACATCGATATTTTTAGTTTCAAAATAGCCAAAAGTTGCGTATGTTAGTAGGGAAGAACATATTAAAAATTGGTGATAGTATTTTTTTTAGTTAAAAAGTTATTCAGAGTCAAAGTGTGAAAAACGTGGTTTTTCGAGCTTTTTTTGTGAAAATTTATTTTCAACGTCAATAACTTTTTTTCTGTTAGAGTTAGGACATAATGTATAATGACAAAAAATGATCTCATTGACAAGTTCTTTTAGATAATGTATCGCACGTGGTGACCAGGTCACAAAAGTTCATTGACCCCGGTGACCTGTGACCTTTTCAAAAAATAAATAGTAGTGTGACACAAATTTTGAAAGAGGACATCAGCAGAAACATTTTGGTAACTGGATTTTTGTTTTAAATCCAATGCAATTGAAGTTATCACCGATGGAAGGAAAGTTTTCACAATAAATGCTCGAAAAACCACGTTTTTCACACTTTGACTCTGAATAACTTTTTAACTAAAAAAAATACTATCACCAATTTTTAATATGTTCTTCCCTACTAACATACGCAACTTTTGGCTATTTTGAAACTAAAAATATCGATGTACTAGGCACTTCAGCAGCAAATTTAAAAATTAATTATGGTAAAAGTGACCTTGAACTTTGACTTACGACTTTGGGCACCATAGTAAAGTTGTAGGTCGTCTCAATCCCAACAACTTTGGTTATTATACTTTTTAGCGTATCTCTAACAGAAACCGAGATATTTTCGATTTTCAAAATCTCCTTTTAAAAAAATGCCTAACTTTGAGCCCCTGTAAAGTAGGCAATTTTGAGAATTTTTCAAAATCCTTTGAAACTTTATCTCTATACACCTAAAGGAATCGGCCTGCCAAATTTTATCCAAATTGGTTGACCCATGCCAAAAGTGGGTCAAAATAAAAAAAAAACTGCCAATAATTTCATTTCATTAAAAATAAACCACCAAAAAACCGCATAGTTTATAAAAATTTTAAGGCGCAGTGCAAGTTCAATGCAAATTAATGCGCGAAATTATTAATTACAATTTTTTTCCTATCGGTTCAAGAAATTATTCACAACAAGAAACCATAGTTAAATTTTTTCCCCAAAATTTCCATCAACTGAAGTAAAGAGAACCTATATAAAGGGACCAAAAAAATTAAAGAATGTGAAAACTCTAAAAGTTTCATTGGTCTATTTTTTTTTCGAGTTGAGGGAAGGATTAAACCGAATTTGGCGTGAAATTGAAATGATGGTCAGGGAACCGTGGCAACATTCGCAGAGGAGGAGGAGGAAAAAGTCAACTGAGCTGAAATTTCCTCTTCGGAGCAATACAAGCGCGTACGTGTGGACATTAGTGGTGGGTTTGGTGCAAAGAAGAGCAGAGTTGAATGGCGAGTGATTTGGAGAAGTTTGACACACGCTGCCGCCGCGATGAATATAAGCAAGCCTTTTTGCGAGCAAGCGAAACTTGTCATTCTGTGTCAAGGGACAAACTGCTTTCCCAAGTCTTCCATTCCACGAGTGCACACACAAAAGGAATAAAAATAAACAACTTTATCTGTAGCCGACACGCGAAATAAAACGGATAGATAGGGACATTCAAGTCGGGCCAGATTTGCATTCGGAAAAAGGATTTTCCAGACCTCAAACTGGACGCCTGCAGAGGATTCAAGAGGGGGAGATCAAGTGAAACTTTTATGTTGGTTGAAAAGGGAGAAGAAGTAAATAGAGAAGCCCTTATACTGAAAAGGTCACCTAAAGTATAAAAAAAAATATAAATCCATCTTGTTTTCAGAGCTGTGAAAATAAAAGTTTTCCACCAAAAATTTTTTTATTATGAAATAAAATGATAAATATTTGCTCAAATCTACACTTGAGTATATTTAAAAAAGATATTTTAAAATTTCAACTTTTGTTAAAAACTACTTACAATTAGAGTGAACATATGAAATAGAATTTCCTTTAAAAAATATTGGATTCCAATTTTTTTTTATCCAATCCCAATGTTTGCCTCTTATTTTTTTTTTCAAATTAACTTCAAAAGTCGCTGAAATTGTTCCTAATTTAAATCATAGAACATCTTACAATTAAATGATTTATAAACACACAAATTATATATAAGTTTTTGCTTTACACCTTTTTTAAAAAGCGTGCTTTACATCGCTTTGCATTTAAAACCTTTCACAAATTGTAGTTTTGGTCTATTCCATTTACTACTTTTCGTTCTTTTTGAAATAACTCTTAACTCATTACCTAAATATAATCTACACAACTTATTCTTCTCATTATGCTTGCTTTTTAGGTTCTTTTGGCTTGCGTAACCTAAATAAGGGCACCTTTTCACTTGAATAAAACTTGGCTTGTTTCGAGTTTACTTGCTTGTTCTCTACTAACTTTTTATTAACCCAAAACAAAAGGTAAACGCGCTGCGCTGCGCCTTGGCGGGAGATCCAATTTGATGCCAATAGAAAAGTGCTATGCTTACTCTTTTTCAGACATAGCAAACCTCCAGAGGCAGATCAAAATTACAATTTTGATAATTAATGTTGGATTACAGCATAGCACTTCAAATTAAATTATACAATTATTGTATCAGTGGCAAATAATAGCAAAATGGTTAGCAATTTTAAACTCACTTAAGTCTGATTTAATTTTTTTCTCACTCTCGATGAGCGCCTGAGAGGTGGCTGAAATTTCACCTGGTCCAAGTGCCTCTCACGCTCAATTCCCTCTCCATCTTTCACCCTCACACGACGAGGGCCCAGTAGTCGGACTGCTTGCCCAGGGACCCACTTATCTCTTCCTGTGAATTGTCGGAACGCCACTTCTTGACCCTCAACTCCTCCCCGAGGCTTAGTTGTGACTGCGGCGATTGCCCTCTTCTCCCTTTCAATTTGTCGTCTTATGTGTTGTTGATCTGGGTGCACTTTGTCGATGACCGTCTGAGGCCTTCGGCCAAGGTTGAATTCTGCTGCTGCGATGCCAGTAGTGGGATTAGGACAAGAATTTTGGCCCAACAAAAAGCTGTCCAACTTCTTTTCATCACCACTAACTTTCTTGAGGAAGGCTTTCACTGTCTGGACACCTTTTTCTGCCACACCATTTGAAGCAGGGCTGTAAGGTGGAGAATATACAATTTCTATAGAATTATCACTACAGAAACTTTCAAATTCTGCTGACCTAAATGCGGGCCCATTGTCAGCAACAATCACGTCACACAATCCCTGGAATCGGAAATTCTTTCTACAGAAGAGTATCACGTCGTCTGCTGACATTCCTCTTGTTCGCTCACAATCCATCCATCCAGATAGCCCATCAACTCCAATAATGAATGTTTTCCCCCTGGAAAGTTCAAAAAAATCTAAATGCACTCTGCTCCATGGACGGTGTGGTACGGACCATGGAATAATAGGTGCTTTGTTTGGCGCCTTGTTGAACAGTCTGCATGGTTCACAGGCTGCACACAAATTTGAAATCTCTAGGTCCATTTCTGGCCACCAGAAATATTGACGGGCCAGTGATTTTGTTCGGACCTCTCCGAAATGGTTCGAGTGAAGCAAGCACAAAATTTTCTCTCGCAGGCTTTGCGGCACCACTGCTTTCTCTGCAAAGTAAACCATTCCATTATTTACCCGCAGGTTTTGCCAACGATTTTTATAATGAGCTAGTGACTCAGGTAGGCTTGCTGCATTTCTACCTTGCAACAGAAGAGGCTTGATTGCAGAAAGTTCTTCGTCGACTTTTGCTTCTTCTTTAAATCTGTCCACTGTCAACGTTGGGTTCAGCAAGTCCATGAAACAAATTTTGGCTTCTCCACAGAAAAGTTCATCTTGATCCTCCTCAACAACTTCCAAAGGCAGCCTAGAAAGGACATCCGCGTTACAGTGTGATTTGCCCGCCTTATGCACAATTTCAAAGTCGAAATCCTGAAGGAATAAGTAATACCTCTTGAGTTTTGCTGGTAAGTGGTCAGATAATGGTTTTCCAGGGCTGAAAATACCAAGAAGAGGCCTATGGTCAGTGATTATCGTGAACTGACGTCCCCACAAAAACTTTTTCAGTTTCTTGACAGCCCAGACAATGGATAGAGCCTCCACATCAATCTGCGAATAATTTAACTCAGATTTCTTCAATGATCTTGAAATGAACATGATAGGTACCTCTTTTCCCTGTTCCACTTGGCTGAGCACTGCACCGATTCCTTTGTTACTCCCGTCACATGCTAGTATCACCTCTTTGCTTGGGTCAAAGTATGCTAGGGCTGCCTGCTTGCTCACAATTCTTTTTGCCTCCTCCATGGCAGTTTGGCATTCTGTGGACCAATAGAAACGCGCCCCTTTCTTCAGCAACCTATAGAGGGGTTGGAACATTTCAGCCTTTTTCGGGAAAAACCTATCGTAATAGTTAATATACCCGAGATAGGCTCGTAGCTCATCGAGGTTCTTCGGGGCAGGCATCTCTTGAATGGCCTTGATCTTCTCATTAGTAGGTTTCACTCCTTCTTGAGTAAACAAATAGCCCAGGTACTCCAGTTCTGTAACATTAAATTCACATTTGCTAAGTTTCACTTTCAAACCACTTTCTAGAAATATTTGTAACACTTCTCGGGTTGCTTCTGTTAATCTTTTTTTTGTAGCTGCACAGATGAACAGGTCATCGAAGTAAACAAATACTTCAGGAATTTTAGCAACTTTTGCATGAATTTTTTTTTGGAAAATTGGAGGGGCAACTGAGATACCTGGTGGCATTCTTCGAAATTTGAATCGTCCTCTCTGGGTAGTTATGGTCAGAATTTCGGACGACTCCTCGTCCACCTCAAACTGGAGGTATGCCTCGGCTAAATCAATTTTGGTGAAATGGAATCCTTTCTTCACTTTACTCAGCAGTTGGTCTAATGTTGGTAACGGGTAATCTGAGCGCTTGATCTGCGGATTTACGGTTGACGAGTAGTCGGCACAAATTCGCACCTTGTCACCTTTCTCGACCACTACTATCGGCGTGGCCCAATCAGATGACAAAGTTTGCTCGATTACTCCTGCTTCTTCCAGCTCAATCAGAGCCTTTTCTGTTTTCTCAACAAGTGCAAATGGCACTTGGCGAGCGTTTCGTTGTATTGGTTTTGCTCCATCCTTCAATTCAATTCGCACTGGGGGGCCCTTGAACCTTCCAAGCCCAGGCGAAAATACTTCACTCAAATCTTGAAATTCTTCAGGAATGTTTTCCATCTTGAAGACACTTGCACTATGCTTTTTCTTCCTCTTTTTCTTTTTCTTCTTTTTCACTTTCTCCGCCTTCACATTTTCTCTTGCAATCACTCTTGGAATTTTCATTTCTACACCCAGTTCTTCAAACCAGTTCCGTCCAATTAAAGCTGGCCCAGGTTGCTCCATCACTAGCAGTTCAAGCTGAACTGGCTCTTCTCTTCCTTGTAGCCAAATGGGCACAATTAATGCACCAGCTGCTCTAATTTCAGGGCCATCACCCCAAGGCTTCATTTTTACATTCGATGGCTGCAACTGAGCTCCTTTTGGAAAATACTCACTGAACGTTTGCCCTCCAATCAGTGAATATGAGGCTCCAGTGTCAAGTTCCATTGGCAAAGTTTGCCCATTCAATTGGATGTCTAGAAAAATTCTCTTACCGGACAATTTCTCGCATTTAGTCTCCATTTTCAAAAGGTAGTTTGTGACTGCTTCTTCTTGTCTTCGAGCACCTCCTTTGGCTCCCTCGTCTTCTTCACTAGAACTTTCTTCACTTGAGTTTTCTTCATTATCCAAGTGATGAGTCGTTTTGCTTTTCTGCTTTAGTTTCTTGGTGTAGCAGACATCTTCTTGGTGCCCAATTCGCCCACAAAATTGGCACAACTTTTTCTTCAACTTGCAGTCATCCCTCATATGACTTGTTTTTCCACAGCAGAAACACTGGTTGTTTTTCTGCATTTCTTCATAATGGCCCAACAGCCCACCTTTTGTTCTTTTCCAATTTGGCTGGCGGTCCTTGTCAGGTGCTTTTTTCTGCACAACTTGGTGCAGCGATCCCTTTTGACCACCAGACAACTCCTTTGCCGCAGCCTCTGCTCGCTCATGTGCGTAAATCCTCGTTGACACGTACTCGACTGTCAACTTGTCATCTGGTTCAAGGAGAAGGCTCTCCTTTAACTTCAAATCACGTAAACCAGATATCATCCTGGCCACCATTGCTTCGTCTCTCTCCTTGAATTGAGCTTTGTCTGCCAATCTTGACAACTCCGTAATAAACTCTATGGCTGGCTCTCCAGGTTGCTGTACTCTGGCATGGAATCTATCCCTCTGGACAGACTTAGTTGGTTCTGCTTGCTTTTTAGGTTTCAGCAAATTTATAATCAGGGTATAAGTTTTGCTGTCCATATTCGTCAGAAATGCGTTTCTCTGCTTTGTTACGTCTTCAATCCCTTGGTCTTCAAAATACAAGTCCCATCGGTCGGTGTATTCGTCAAAGGTTAGTCCACCTGTTTCATTGAGCTCTTCACCCTCGACTTCTTCTTCTACAATGTTCTCCAAGCTGTTTCCTGGCGAACTATCTTCTGCTACGTCCAAAAAGAGCGGTGATGGACACGTTTCGGACAGATCAATAAACGATGTTTCTTCTGGGCTGTCGGCCATAATCTAAATCAGAGCACATGGTGATAAGCACACTGTTCAGCTTTGTTCGAATATCCTCGTCGCCACTTGAAATAACTCTTAACTCATTACCTAAATATAATCTACACAACTTATTCTTCTCATTATGCTTGCTTTTTAGGTTCTTTTGGCTTGCGTAACCTAAATAAGGGCACCTTTTCACTTGAATAAAACTTGGCTTGTTTCGAGTTTACTTGCTTGTTCTCTACTAACTTTTTATTAACCCAAAACAAAAGGTAAACGCGCTGCGCTGCGCCTTGGCGGGAGATCCAATTTGATGCCAATAGAAAAGTGCTATGCTTACTCTTTTTCAGACATAGCACTTTTTAATTAATATTTATTTGCAATAAAAATATTTGAATCTTATTTCTTTTATGCATATTTAGAGCCTTAAAAAGTATTGCCACGCAAAATCCACGTGGAAGAAAATTAATTTTCGTGTCATTAGGAATACGCCGTGGTGACTTTCGAGTTCAACTAGCTTGACGCACCAGAGGGGAAAATAGAGGTAGACGCAGCCGGTCAGATATGTATGCACTTTGCATGTCGCCGCCGAGGCACGAACAAGCTGTGCAAAATTAATCCACAAATCACTTCCACGCCGCTGCATGTGTGCACCGCTGGATTAATTGCAACGTGCGAGCGGAACGAAAACGCAGAGAGTGAAATTCCATTTTTTTTCTTCCCTCTTATACATTCGCAAGCGCCATTTGATTGCACTCTTTCCCATTCCGATGGCACACAGCGATTGCTTTTGCATGCATTATGGAGAATATCTGCGCCTGTCATTTCATTCTCGCGGCGTATTTCTCTCCCAACAAAATCAGGTCACCCTCCAACCCCTTGCTCGAGACGCAATTGCGTGACACCAAAAATGTCTTTAAGGAAAAAACCAAATTAAAACTCTGCACCTTGAATTGTCGTGACGAAAGACAGTTGAATTTGTTTTATATTTTGATTAATTTTCCTTCCTCGATAATTGACTTTGTAATTGGGTTAAGTTTTTCAGAAAATTATAATTTTACTGAAATGTGAAAAATTTACGATACGAAACAATTGAATCTACAAAAACTCTAAAATTTCAAACCTTTTTTTTATAAACTTTTTCTGCCACAAATCGACGGAGTACCTTATTTTTTTCAGGCGTCTTTTCTTAATAAAATTTGAGAGCTATTTCCATAGTAATTTTAAAAATTTTTGAATCGTCTTCAATAGTTGTTTAATTTAAACATGATTAAAATATGTCTTCAAGTCTTCAATTTTTACAGGAAAATTATTCCAGACTCTATTGCAAAATGTTTATTGTAATTTTGCAGTGAAAAATTCCAGTAATTGGCGAAGAGATCGAAAATTATGAATATGGAGAAAAGTCGGGATTAAATTATCCTTGTTTGTGGTACAATTAGAAATAAATAAATTGCTGGCCGGTGCAAGTGGGAAATGCACTCGCGATAATTATTTAGCTAGGGGTGTTTGTTTGCTGCAGTGGCGATAACAAGGGGCGCGCGCGCTTTGTTGGCCTTTGTGATAAATCGGGCCGGTGTAATGAGCCACCGCGGCTATCTCTCGACGGGGCTCGATCGAATACCAGCAGCTCACACTGTGTGCGGTGTTGCACACAAGGTTGCAGAAAGATAAGTCCTTGGCAAATTTATAATATTTTATCGCGGCTGCAGCGCAAAAAGAAGAGCAAAGATTAAAAGCTTGCTCTTGGCGAACGATAAACCTCATAATGCCCTCTCTGCTTCATTTAATTAAATTCTCTCTCGCGCGCTGGCAAACAGAGACGTGCGCCTTAATTAGCACACAAGACCGACGGGAAAATGTTTCGCAGTTTCTATAAATGGGCCGCCCCGAGACTTGAGCAGCAGTTTCTCATTCAGAAGAAGGAGAAAAACGAAGAATCGGCACCAAACTCAAAAACCTTAAAGCGCCAACAAACTTTTGCACTCCTCTAAAATATCAAAACTTCAGAAAAAACTTCACTACACGCTGTTTATTTATTTATTTTTATCAAAAACATTAATGGGAAAGTCTGTCTCAATAAACCTATTTAAACATATAATTCGAATCGGAAAACTTGATTGAATTTTCCAATTTAAATTATCACGTTCTGTTGAACACAAATAATATTAACACTCGAAAAGCCCAGCAGTTTCAATTTTTTTTTGCATTAATATATTAATTTTGAAATAATTTATGTTCATCAGCTTATACATATTTGAAAAGTTTTTTGTGGAGTAGTTTGAATTCGACCGATCAAATTTAGCGTATTCGTTTTGAAAATGCCTCATGTTACTTTATGGGATTTCCGATTTTCTGAAAGAAATGAAAGGTAACTTTTTTATAGTCACTGGTCACAGAGTGGTCACATACCCAGACTGACCAACTTGTTAGGCTACCTTGGACAAAATTGAGGCGTTTTCTTAATTACTTCATACGCACTATTAGTATTTTTTTTTTAAATTACATCAAATCGTTAACAACTTTAAATACTGTAATGGAAACTTAACCTGTAAACCGAACTTGCAAAAATAAGTTTTTAGACAATTTTCCAGTTATTTCCAAATAGCACGCATTTGATTGTCCATATAAAATAAACGATTGATTTTTTTCATGATAATTAAAATCTTAAGATATAATCAAAATTAAGTTTTCCAATTTATTTTTTATTGATTCTTCTCAATTCGTAATTATTATACTACATAATTATGTTTTATATTTAAAAAAATGAGATTTTACAACAAAATAAAAGCATGTAAACTAAAGCTGCATGCGATATTAAAAAATATCAATTAAGACAGTAAAAAAATAAACAGTAGGTTGAGGTTCTCATTGGAAATCACACTTCGCTGCACATTAATTTATCTGACGGAATTCTCATGACATATGCGGTCACGCCATATCCATGCCATGGCCACGCCATGGCCACGCCATGGCCACGCCATGGCCACGCCATGGCCACGCCATGGCCACGCCATGGCCACGCCCACGCCATGGCCACGCCATATCCACGCCATGGCCACGCCATATCCACGCCATGGCCACGACATAGCCATGCCACGGCCACGACATAGCCATTCCATGGCCACTATGCAAAGCGTGAACCTTCGTTTTCAATTTTCAAACATAAGAATTATCGATTAAAAACACTTACTGTTCCTGAGGTTTGAAGTTTGATGCAAGGGTTGTGAACGCAGTTGCTGTTTTCAACTAGATTAAATCGTAATCCATGTTGTAAGATGAATTTAAAAAATTCACCTAACATAATTAAACAGAAACAGCTGACATTTTGGAGAGGGGGAGATTTCTGAACAAACCCTCCCTTCCCCACTCTTCCTTTAATTCAATCATAAAATTTCAGACTCAAACATACAGTTTAGTCTCCGGTACTTTCAAACACGTGTTGATCAAAACAAGCGGCGAAATAATGATGTCTTCGAATTTGAACAGCTGCTGTTTCTCCAGAATCCCAAATAATAATATTCTCTGGCAGAGATCGCGGAATGGAAGCAGACGAGGCACTGAGAGTTGTGCAAACATTCAACAGAGAGAGAAGCCCTCAGCACCGCTCGGATAATCCCACGCAGGTATAAAAGCTTTAAATCGATCGAATTTCATCATCAAAGTCCATTTAATGGGTGCAGGTGGAAATGTCAAAGCTCTCAGTCGTCAAATTCGTCGCTTTTTGAGGAAATCGAGCCATGTAAACACAAATTCAGGAGCACGTTTTGCCCTGTTGAATGAGAAATTAATTTTGAACATATTTGGCGTATTTAATTAAAAATTTCGATTAAAATCTTATTAGGCTGTGAAAGCGTCTGCTCATTTAAGTGGGCAAACATGCACCTAATTCTCGAAATTAAAATTTAATCTTCCTTATTATCAGCGCCAACCTTGCTGAATCGATCCTTAATCAAGGTAGGAGAAGTTTTTTTCTATTTTCTGCGAATAATCAAGTTCCACTTCTTGGCAACAGATTGTCGAGCATAATTGAATAGACGGTCTTGCGCTGGCAATTATTAGCAAGTAAGAGCTGCGAGACATCTTTCTCTGCAATGCAGAAATTAATTAAACTCCGCCTTGCACGCTTTGCTAATGAGCGAGGTGCACATTTAGCCAAGGTCGATTGAGCCTCGTCTTTGCAACTGCAGAGTAAATTCATATTATGTGTGTTTCAAACGAAACATCAACAGCAAACTAGTTTCCGAGGAACACTCAAGCTGTTCATCTTGAGCATAATTTATCCCGTTTGAAAGCTGCAAAAAGGTTTTAAGATGCCTTTCTTTCATAGAGATGCGGAAAATTGATTTTAATGTTAATGGTGAAGAAATACTTTTGTTTTTAAATGAGAATTTTTTAGGCTTAATGAATATCATTTTTATGAAAAGCAATAGTTTAAAAAAAAATAGTTTTTCAAGCGTATACATTGAATTTTACATCTTTTAGTTAGATTTTATTTTTTGGTGTCAAACTATTGATTTAAAAACATTACAATAAAAACATAAGATCTGCAGTAATTAATCTGCTAGAGTGTGCTAGAGAAACATAATCAATCTTGTGATTTCAATTTAAAAAATATTCAACGCAATTCTTGGTAATGTTATAGTACGCGCGACGTGTTTTTTCATAAGTTAGCAGCACTTATGCTCCCATGTAAAAGTATCACGTCGCGCGTTCGATAGTGGTTTTACGTCGCGCATACAATAATGGTTTTACGTCGCGCGTACAATACTGGTGGCGGTGTAATTTTTAAGGAAACCGATTTTATTTCCCGATTACCACGGAAACCTCTATAGCACGCGCGACGCAAATATTTTCCTACAATCTTAATTAAGGGGACTGCTAGGAAGAATAGGGGCCCTTGGGATGGGTTCAGAATGGGGCAAGACGACCTCTGGAGGGCCGTGCGCACCCTTATAGCAGGCGCGACGTATCACTATGGGACACGCGACGGTCGAAAAGCGAACTCCGGAGGGCGCTTTTCACCATCGTCAGAGGCGCGACGCATGGTTATAGGACGCGCGACGTATGCTTATAGTACGCGCGACGCATGTTTATAGTACGCGCGACGCACGATTATAGTACGCGCGACGCATGATTATAGTACGCGCGACGCACGGCAAATTAATTTAAAGGTGTTGCACGCTGCCGGAGTTGTGGGCACCCCACGAACCGGCAACTCGGAGGTGGGCAACCCCCAAGATTAA